ATCATTGTCGTGTTGGAAGACCCAACCACGTTTCATCTTCAAAGCTCTCACTGATGGAAGGAGGTTTTGGCTCAGAATCTCACTATACATGGCCCCATTCATTCTGTCCTTAACACGGATCAGTCGTCCTGTCCCCTTAGCAGAAAAACAGCCCCAAAGCATGATGTTCCCACCCCCATGCTTCACAGTAGGTATGGTGTTCTTGGGATGCAACTCAGTATTCTTCTTCCTCCAAACACGACGAGTTGAGTTTATACCAAAAAGTTCTACTTTGGTTTCATCTGACCACATGACATTCTCCCAATCCTCTGCTGTATCATCCATGTGCTCTCTGGCAAACTTCAGATGGGCCTGGACATGCACTGGCTTCAGCAGCGGAACACATCTGGCACTGCAGGATTTGATTCCCTGCCGTTGTAGTGTGTTACTGATGGTGACCTTTGTTACTGTGGTCCCAGCTCTCTGCAGGTCATTCACCAGGTCCCCCCGTGTGGTTCTGGGATTCTTGCTCACCGTTCTCATGATCATTTTGACCCCACGGGATGAGATCTTGCGTGGAGCCCCAGATCGAGGGAGATTATCAGTGGTCTTGTATGTCTTCCATTTTCTGATAATTGCTCCCACAGTTGATTTTTTCACACCAAGCTGCTTGCCTATTGTAGATTCACTCTTCCCAGTCTGGTGCAGGTCTACAATTCTTTTCCTGGTGTCCTTCGAAAGCTCTTTGGTCTTGGCCATAGTGGAGTTTGGAGTCTGACTGTTTGAGGCTGTGGACAGGTGTCTTTTATACAGATAATGAGTTCAAACAGGTGCCATTAATACAGGTAACGAGTGGAGGACAGAAAAGCTTCTTAAAGAAGACGTTACAGGTCTGTGAGAGCCAGAGATTTTCCTTGTTTGAAGTAACCAAATACTTATTTCCACCCTGATTTACAAATAAATTCTTTAAAAATCCTACCATGTGAATTCATGGATTTTTTTTCACATTCTGTCTCTCACAGTTGAAGTGTACCTATGATGTAGATTACTGACCTCTGTCATCATTTTAAGTGGGAGAACTTGCACAATCGGTGGCTGACTAAATACTTTTTTGCCCCACTGTATAAGACAGCAGTGATGTGTGAGACAGCAGTGTTGCATGAGACAGCAGTGTTGTGTGAGACAGCGGTGATGTGTGACAGAAGTGAGATGTGAGACAGCAGTGAGGTGTGAGACAGCAGTGTTGCGTGAGACACCGGAAGCGAATTGTTTAACAGACATCAGTGTGTTAGCTGCAGTAGTCTTGAGAAGAGCATCACTATGTGCTTTCAAAACCAAGACAGTACCTTGAACCATTTTACCAACTGCTTCGAGTTGTTTCTGTTGTTCTATTTCTATTTGAATTCCCAGAATTTCATTTTTCAACTCACTAATTTGGCATCTAATGGCGGCGACATTGATGGCATTAACAGAAGACACTCCTGAACTAAACAAAGACCCTAGGGCTGAAGCTGCCATCAAAAATCTTCCAATGAATCACTTTTCTCTTCCGCAAGTTCCGCTTGAGAGATGGTACATTTTTACAGTTGTTTCAACATGTAGGTGATGTTGACCTCTACATGTTTAATCGTCTCTCTTCCAGTGAGTACCCGCATAGGATGTGAGCTTCGATGTTATGTTGATATTCTGTTGGCACACCATCTCCAGATTAAATCTGACAAACACCCTTAGGGTGTAAAGTTGGCACTTACTAATAAGCAATCAAGGTTGATCGGTAAACACACGCGCACACACGTGCACACACACACGTGCACACACACACACACACACACACACACACGTGCACACTGGTAGTGATGAGCCACAGCTGCTCTGGGGTGAGCTGACAGAGGCGAGGCTGCCACACAGTTTCACCCCCGGTCCAGCTGCTGACCACCAGCAGGCAAGGAGGGTAAAGTGCCTTGCCCAAGGAAACTATGACTGTGACGACCTGAGCAGAAATCAAGCCTGCAACCTTAAGATTCCAGGACGGGCATTTATCTCCACTGCCGCTGGTGCTATTAATGATTTTTCTTACATTAGACGCGCTGACCTCGTCTGACAAGTAAACATTTAGAAACGGTGACGTTAGAGGAGATCTGCTGAGTGATTGGACATGAAGTGGTCTGTTGGCAGCAGTGGTCGACTGTTTTCTCCCTTGAGTCCCAGTTTTTGCTGACTGCCTCTCTGATGTCTGCAGGAAGTTCGTACCGTCTGAGTAACGTTCTGCCCAGCGCCCCTGACATGTCGCAGCTCAAACTGGGAGTGCGCTCAGTCGCAGGAAAACTGTCCGTCATGGCGAGCGGCGTAGTTAATACGATCCAGGTCGGTGGAACAGAGGACATGTTGAGACAAAACCACAGAGTTCTACACGTTTAATACGAGCTTCTTCACCTTTGTCTTTACTTTTCCTTCAGGATCACTACAACTCCTGAGGGTGTTGATGTGAAAGTGCTTTCTGCTGAGGGGAGACAGAAGGATGGAGATCCATCAACACTCACAACAAGTCTGCAGATTCATCACAAAACAAGCTTTTATTTTGTTGAAGCACATTCATCCAAAAATGTCTAACTTTAAAAAAACAAATGGAGTTATTTCCCTATTTGAATGGACACTTGTGCTTACAGACTTGAAGAGCATTTAATTTACATTATATCTCCTAATATGCTTTAAGGTTTGTGGGCATGTGTTATTGGAAATGCTGTGTGTAGCCCCCTGAGTAGCTTAGTGGTGTGATGGAGGGGTTTATGTTTAATTCTGTTTCCTCACTACTAGAGAAAAGTGTAATTCTGACCACCCGCTCATGTTTGAAAGTGTCTGCCCTCTTAAAGTGCACTTAGGTTTGCTCCTCCACAAACTGGACCGAGGCTTAATACGGACCATGAAGGACCAAGTACATTTTCCTTTATTTGATAAGTTACATAAACCAAAACTTTATGGCTTCATTTGCTCAGAACTGTGTATTGTCTTCGAATTGCTGCTTATTTTTTTAGTTTTGTCTTTGGGAGAGTTGGGAACGGACAGCTTGCTGAAGTTGAGTCATTTAAATGTGCAGAATAGGAAAACAAGTGAAGATAAAACATACAGACTGATGAAATTTTCATGAATTACGTCTTTGCAAAAGAAACTTTTTTGGTTTTAAAACTTCTCATCTCACTTGTGGCACCAAAGATAATTAGTTTTTTTCCACAATTTTATAAACAATGAAGTTGAGGGATTTATCTGCAGGTTCACTGCACTGTGTGTTTTTTCTGAGTCATGATGATAAAAATAAGGTACTATTAGTAATGTTGTATTCCATTAATTAGCTAGAGGTAAATCAGCAAATAAAAGTGGCCATTTTAAAATCTAAAGGCAAACTTATTGAATGCTGGAGAATGTGGATGATTTCTGTTTAAATACTTCATATTTTTCCTCAATCTACCATTACTGGCACTTACCATTAGGAATTGTGTTAATATTGTTGGAAGGAAATGTTTCACCTTGATCACCACAGGGTTGAGAACCCCCAACACACACACACACACACACACACACACACACACACACACACACACACACACACACACAGATCTCAACCCGACGACCCAAAAGTTATCCTGCTAAATTCCAGGTGCCTAAAATACTTCCCTGTTTGCCCTCCTTTCTCTGACTGGTTAGATCTCCTAAACAGGCAGTTGACTTTATAGCTAGTTCTCTACGCAGGATCAAGTATTCCTGACCGTGCTGATTTTACATGGAAACCCCTAAAAGAAGACAAGAGTTGTACACTCCTTACTATTTGCCTTAGTCCAAAGATCTTTCATAGGTTACCCTAATTGCAATATGGTGTAATCTTGTTGCGCATGTTTTGATGGACTCAATAGGTTTAGCTTGGATGTGCTTCAATGTTTGGCTCTTAGTTATTAGTAAGTTCATGTTTGTTTAATGTTTTGTCAAATTGTGTTTTTTTTTTGTTGGATATAGTTGTTGTTACATGGAAGAATATCAGTTTGTGTAATTTGCATGGCCTTCTCTAGTGTATCATCCAAACATTCATAAGATAGAGGAATAATACACTTTTTCTATGACTGTCTGGTTGGTTATCTGTGACTATACACTATGTTGTAGATGGCTTTGAATTACCATTTGTTTAAAAAATACTGATAATTAATGTTTGACTCAAATCCATATGAAAATAATTTTGCAAAGATGTTAAATAAATGGCGTATTCCTAAATTTTTGTCTGTTTTAATTCATCAATACAATACAGTGAGGTGCAGATAGAAAACATCAACACCATGATGACTTGGATATTGTCCAATAAACACCGTAACACTGCATAAAGTAGATAATTGTCACAATGGTTACTGGAGACGTTTGTGAGACTAAATTATTTTAGGCCAAACAAAATAAAAATTAACATTTTGCACCTTATTATTTAAACAATACAAACAAGGTACAAAATCCTGGCGCCTACGTGGCTTGCTGCTGCGTTTATGGCCTGTCCTACATGGTGGGACTTTTAAACGTAACATCTGTTCATACTTTATTCTGGGCGTTCTTGCTCAAGTTGGAAAGTGTTTGGTCTTTAATTCAGTCTAGAATATTTGTCAAATTCAATTTGTACTTGCTTTATACTTCTGACCAAGACCTATGTTATTCCTTTCAGAATACTAGTGTTGGTGCTGTTAAGACCGCAGTTCTTTTATTTACCACTTTCTCTAAAGGCGCTTGAATGCAGCAATTCCTCAGCGAACAGGAGTAGATTTGTAGCGGTAATATTAGCAAAATAAAGTCGTTAATCGCACTCTTTTGTTACTTAAATCATTATGAACGTATTTCTGAGACCAGTTTTTATTGTATTATGACAATATAGCTAATATCCTGTTGCGTTTTCTCAGCTAATCCCGTTAGGATTTGCGCAGAACCCAAACATACTAGCAACGGTAATAATTTAGCCAAAATGTCCACTGATGTTAAACAGCGCAAAAAGACTCAAAAACCAAACGATGAACTCTCTGAAACGTCGTCTGCAAACGGCAAAAATGTGGCGCAAAAGGCGAAGACGGAAGACAATTTCACAGTCAATAAAACCTCCTCGGGTCCCGACGTTAAAAGTTTAATCTGTTTATTGTCGCTTATAACTTGCGGAGTTCTTAGCTGGTAAGCTAACGGTTTCAATATCAGCCTCATTTTCTTTATTATTTTTTTTTTCCTACAAACGTTTTCTTGGGTTTCAGGTTGGTGCTGCTGCAGAACGAGAGGTTTTCCCAGATAGAGGAAAAGTACAAATCCCTACACGGGAAAACCTCCAGCCTGGTGGAGATGGAGGAGGAAATGCTGAAAGTCTCCAAAAAGGTGAGTCCGAGCCAAACTTAAAGGGTCATTTCATCAAAGTACACGAAATACATTTTGTAGTAACTACAAATGCAGCTTCTTTAAATTAATTTTATTTAGAAAAAGGGAAATTGGTGGAATATTATGACCACGTGCATTTTATTTTAATGGAGTTTTCTAAAAAAAAAAAAAGTTTTACCCTTTTTGAGACGTTTGGCAGCACAAAGGCTGGTTTCAACATCTGCTAATTACAGCATTATTTTAAGGGGTTTGAAATAATGAAAATCTATGAAATACATAAAGTAAACATATAATTCATAAGTGAAACGCTTTCATTCCCATTTATAACTTTAAAACTGAGTTTATAGTAAATTGTAATTATTGCATAAAGTTATGCACGAATAGATTATGAAGGAGATCATTGAGCTCCACAGAAATGGCACTCCTGTTTTGTGTTGTGGCTGCAGCTTGCTGCATCTGATGATGACCTCCAGCAGGCGCTTTCCTCTGTCTCCACGGCAACAAGACTCCAGCAGGATATTGCCACCCTCCATGCTGCCATCATGGTTGGACAGACCGATGACAACTCCGCCTCCCGTGACCTGCAAGCGGTCAACGCTCATTTCCTCAATGTGACGGAGACGTGGCAGGAGCGGCTGACTGCCATCACCTCTGACCTGGCTGCCCTCAAGGCTGAATCACGGGAGGCTCACGTCGGCGCCACAGAGAAGGTGAACGAGGCCGAGCGGAGGAGTCGGATCCTGGCGGAGAGGCTGGAAGAGCTAGAGGACAGCACCAAAAGGAACGCCCGAGCTCTGGAACGCACTGAGGAGGACGACGCTAAGCGAGCACAGGATCAGCTGGACTGGAACACCAAGCAGATCTACAAGCTGGAGGAGCAGATTGGTATCCTGGCCAAGAGAGAGGCTGCACTTAGCTCTCAGGTCCAGGAGCACATTCCACGGGCACAGGCCTGTGAAGAGCACCTTCCTCAGGTCGAGGAGGCTGTGCGCTCCATCCTGAAACTCAGTGGTGATCTGAGCGGGGCAGAGAGGAGGCTGGAGGAAGTGACGCTGCAGGTTTTTGGGACTGAAGACAGTATGCTAAAAGCACTGAGTGAGATCCTTGAGATCAGACAAGATCTGGACACCCTGCAGGCCCAAAATAGCATCCTGAAGATGAAGAATGAGCTGTCCGTGGTCAAGGAGGCAGTCCGTGAACTCACCATGGTGCTGAGGGAGAGTCAGATTGAAACCCCACTGGACTCTGGCGCTTTGGGGGAAGAGGAATGGAAAGATGAAGAGGAGGAGCAGTGGCAGGAAGATGACCAGGAGGAACTGATTGATGACTTTACTGAATGACATCATTGTTTTGAGTCAGCTTGAGGAAAAGAGTGGCTGTTTTTTTTTCATCAGTATTTCATTTTTCTTTACTTTTACCTCAATTCAGGGTTAAAACTCTTAACAAGTATGAAATAAATGCACTCTAAGTACGACCTTGCACTCCTACAGTATTTTTTGTTGAATGAGTTATCTTGAATATAATGGGATAAAATGTATTGATCCTACAGTGGGAAAATTCAATTGTTACATGAAATTTGCACTGATAAATGAATGGTTATGAATGCATTTAACAAACACATTTCCAGGTTATCCAACAGTTTTCATGTCTTAGTTTAAAGTTAACGCAATTGTTAAAAGTTTTGTTGTATTTCTTCACAAAGTGTGTAACCATGCTGCATTACAGCTGCATCACCAAGTTTAATCAGGGGTTTATGGAAGAGTTGAGAATCATTTTTGTCTGATTTGGGTTTTCACTTCTGTAGAACACATCACTGATCTGTTTGAATAAAAGCACAACTTAAACACCTTCTCCCATTTTCTCTTACTTACAGAGGAATTAGTTTATTTTACTGCTATTAGCTTCTCATGGTTCATATTGTCTAATGTGCGTTTCAGTGTGAGCGCGTCCAGCTGATGCTGGAGGGTCTGGAGGCTGAGCGGGGAGCTCTGCAGCCTCAGATGGAAGGTTTGGAGCGGGATGTCAACCAGCTGAAGGAGTGGGCCTCCGGTTTGAGCGAGAAGCGAGCGCAGCTTGACAGAAGCTTGATTTCACTAGGAGACGCCGTGGAGCAAATCGAAGAGCGCACGTCGGCCATCACAAAGGATTTTGCTAACAAGGTTTGATTATTTTTGCATTTCTGCCTATTAGAAAAATCCTATTTTAAGGGAAACGTGTGGTTTATACCAGCACCGACTGCCATGGCTAACTTATTTTTTTGTCAGAAAACATGAAACAGTTGAGATTTGGAACTTTTCTCTCATTTTCAAGAGTTTTTGGAAGCAACTGCTGCTAAATTAAATGTATAAATTCATGTTTTATTTGCTCTCTTGTAATTCTTGGTTTGTCAACAAACAAAAAGAAACCCCCTGAAATAACATGAATACGTTGTTTTTTTATTGCAAACCATTAGAGGACATGTTTGTATCATTTTTAAATCTTCTAGGTGTCGTCGGTGAGGACAGACGTGCGCAGGATGGACGGCCTGCGGTCTGAGCTGGACTCTCTGCTGACCCAGGTAGGCCAGCTGGAGGAGAAGACCTCCCAGGTGGAGCGCAGCATGGTGAAACGCATCGGGGACGTTCTGGCCAGCAGCATCGACCGCGTGTCCAACCTCCGCTCTGCGTCCGAACGCAACGCACAGGCCATAGATCAGCTCCGCAGACGCATCCCCGAGCTCGTCGCCGCCACTGAGCGGGCCTCGGATCGCTTGTTGGAGCTGGAGAGCGGCCGGGCCCGCCTCATAAGGACGGTCACGTTTGCTGCTGATCTCAAACCAAAGGTGGCGTCTATTAAAAGAGACTTTGGGGAGTTTGAGCCTCAGCTGTCAGACCTGACTCTCCGGATCGGGCGACTGGCAGAAGATCTCACCAAGAGGGAGGAGGAGATCGCCGAGCTTCGGCAGACTTTAGCAAACCTCACTGCTGTTGAGGGAGATTTGATTTCTACAGCGAAACACGTCAGCGAAATGTCCGATTTATCCGATATTTTAGAAGCACACAAGCCAACGTGAGAGGGTTAAATGTGTTTTATGCTGAGCTGTTTCATCAGACCACCTGTCATCACTGCTGCAAAAATGTTTTTATTAAAAAGGATCAAAAACACGAACCTTTGCTGCTTTATCAGGGTATCCGCGGGTCCTTAAAAAGTCTTAAATTTGCTTTTACAAATTTAAGGCCTTAAAAATCCTTTAAAATGACAAATAATCCTTAAGTAGTTTCCAAAGGTCTTAAATTACCAAAGACCCAATAAACAAGATTCTTTTATTTCTCTAAAATTTTCATGAATTTCTAGTGTTCAGCATTTTTTCTGTATGATATTTGCATAAGCGGAACCGTACACATTCAGTTGGTTGTGAAAAGGGGTTATTTTTAGATGAGCACATTAGCTGGTTAAGCTAGTGGGAGCTTGTGTCACGGGGAGGTGCAAGTTTAATGGTAACTGGATGGCTAATCCCACGTTTGCGACGTGGTTAGCACCGGTTCTAGGCAATAGCTGGAAATCATAGCTTAAATTTAATTTCAAAAAATAGCTTACATTTGGTCAAAGTGGCCTTAAAAAAGGTCTTAAAAAGTCTTAAATTTGGCTCCCTTAAACCTGTAGATACCCTGTTTATGGATCCTCACAATTACAACTTTAACAAAACCTGGAAATTCCGTTTTCTTGAGCTTTTTTCGTCGTCTTTACATTTGTGACATACTTTTAAGTCTCTAAATGCCTCCCAGCAACTGTCTCACACAGAAAAATGACGAGCTTTAAAAGAAAATAACTGTGAAAATGAGAACGGCTCAATGATCGAGCAGTTTTGTTCTTTCACGCCCGCGGGTTGTTTCTGCTTGTGAGCTGTATGTGGCAGATTTATTAGTTCAATTATGCTTTTTATTTAGTCCACCCCCACCCTTATTTATCTCATTTCATCGTGAAGTTCAACCCCCACAAATAAATCATTCAGAACTTCTGAGTCAACAAAATCTTTTTATTCTACAACAACTAAACATTTGGTGAGTAAACAAAGGAGTGCTTGTTTCTGCATTTGGGATTTTCTTTTTTTTTTCTAAAGAACAAAAACTTTTTTTTGAAGTTTAACAAAAGAAAACATCAGAACATGAAACTGCAGTGCAGAATGAATGAGTTCACAGATCAGCGGTCCAGCACCGTCGCTCACAGCTTGTTCCGTGGAGCTTCACGACATCAGTCGTCATGTTGGGATAAAAAAGGGGAAACTGGGGCGTGGTCCTCTGTTTTGATTCATCACCCCCGCTGGTTCTCGCCGTTCGGCTGCATCACTAAAGGCTTGCGTCCTTCTGGCCTCTCGATGGGACCGGAGGTGTTTGTGTGGTTTTCAGCAGATCACTGACCTTCTCCCAGGCTGATTCCTGCTCCCTTCCATCTACATCCTGTCCTCCAGAGCAGCGAGTCTCTTCTCCAGCTCCTCCACCTGCTGATCCAAGTTGAACTCCTTTTCCATGATCTTGCTCAGAGCAGCCACTTTGGATTGCAGCTCCTCTGTGCTGCTGACTCCTTCCTCTTGTTTACCTCCAAATAAACCAGCTAATGTCTGTTTGGTCTCCTGCAGCGCCTCCTGCAGGGCAGCAATGGCCTGATCGTGGCCACCTAGCTCAGCTGCTTTGCTCTTCAGCTCATCAACGGCTGTTTTTAGGTTTTCCAGCTCCTCGGGTCTCACTGCGCTGCTGTCCTCCAGAGCACTGAGCCTCATCTCCAACTCCTCCACCTGAGAGCTGGAGTCCTTTGCTTCAACGTGGCCTCCTCCCATGGACCGGAGCTCCTCCATGCTGCTTTTCATCACCCCCAGCTCCTGCTTCAGCTCAGCTGTGACTCTCTCCACCGTCTCCCCCTGTGCAGCCAAGCTGCTGTCATGAGCATCATATTTAGCCAACAGAGACTCAACTTTGCTGCTGATGTCTGACAACGACGCAGACAGTGAATCTCTGCTTTCCTCCGACGCTTTCACTCTGGTCTCAAATTCCTCTGATTTGCTCTGAGCTGCTGCGGTTGCTCTCTCCTCCACGGAGCGAACAGCCTCAGTGATCTGCTCCATGCCGTCCTGCAGAGTCACAGTTTGGTCCCTCAGAGCCTGAAATCCAGCTTCTGTGGCGGACAGCGACTGCTTCAGACGTCCAGTAGTCTCCTGCACCACAGACCTCACAGACTGGACTTCCTGAGACAGCGAGACAACTTCCTGGTTGCGAGTCTGGAGCTCTTCTCTCACGGCTCCTATCTGCTGTCTGAGGGAGTCAACAGTCGTGTCAGCGGCCTGCTTTGCGGCTTTGATTTCTGTTACAGCATCAACGATGGCAGACAGCTCCTGCTTCAGGAGAGTGGGATCTTCAACGCCACCCAGACGGGCCTTGAGGTCAGCGAGCTGACTCTGTGCTTCACCCTGGGCTTCGGCGAACTCCGCCACGCTGGCTGAGACGGACTGGCTCACCTCAGCCAAGCGCTCCTCCACGGTCCTCTCCAGAGAGGAGAAATCTCTCTCTCGAGCTTCCTTCACCTCCTTGATGCCTTCGGAGAGGTCCCTGAGAAGATCATTCTGGAGTTTCTGAAGCGCCTCCTCCACCCTCCTCGTCTCCACCTCACCTCTCTTCATCCGGCTCACAGCGGCCTCCAGCTCCACCCGTGTGATGCCCAGAGAAGACTCCAAACCATCCACATAACTCCTCAGAGACTCCACCTGTACCAAACATGGAAACAAGCTGTTATCTTTCAATTCATCTGCATGGACTCAACAGATCTTCTCGTCCAACCTGAAACCATCCACCCCAGCTGACCAGAAACTACATCTGCTGCATGCTGAAAGGAGTGAAAAAGATAATTAAATCTACCATTGCTGACCTAACCCGTTAAACCTTATTAAATCAGAGCGAATCCAAACTTGTTTGATGAGTTCACATTCATCTGAATGAACAAAAAGAACGTGGTGCTTGCAGCAGCAGAAGAACATGAACGGTTGAACCACATGCTGGTTTCATGAAAAGGAGGTAAACATGAGGTTCGCATGAGCAAAGAACATTTATTCAGCCTCTCCAAGTCAGCCTGGCAGGTTCCGATCCTGATTATGTTCTTACTTAGCAAAGTTTGAAAACTTTTAATGGAAGAAAAAACTTTTTCTATCCACCTACCTGTTGAACGACACTCTCCATTTTGGTGCTCAGCTCCCCGTCCTGTCGCGCGCCCTGCTCGTACGTCGTCTTTATCTGATGGATCTCATCCAGGGCTTGCTGGAAATGAAACGCTGCGAAGCCCGCAGCCCCTACTAAAGCCACATAAAACACGGTGGTGGCAAGAAGACCGAGACAGCCACCGGAGCGGGGGCCCTGTGGCCCGGGGCCCCCGCTCACCCCGTTGGTGCCACCTTTGGGGCTTTTCTTCGGTACGTCCTCCTGGCTGGGCGCAGCGCTCTTCTCGTTGCTCTTCTGTCGGATTTTCGTCATATTGGTGGAAGCTCGGTATGTGTGCGTGTGAGTTAGATGTGCAGTCGTGGATGGAGACGGTTTCCAGTTCAGCCCCTCTGACCGGACCAGCAGCGTATCAGCGAGCGCGGCGTGTCTCTCCACGGAGCTTTTTTTCCCTTTTGCGTTGAGGCAGGGCGGATGGGGCCGTCCTAGTCCAATTACACGCTGCGTGGGTATCTTTAGTGACACAAACCAGGAAACAATCAATGTTTAGCAATAAATTTGCAGTTTTTTGGAAGTTTTATATTTGCAATCATTATTCTGCAGCTTTGACAACCATCATACACTGAAAGCGCTTCGACAGTCATCGTTCCTATATTAAAAGGAAGAATAGAACTAAAACAAACGCACCACTTCCAACCAGTTTTGTTTAAAATCCACTCATTTGTGTGCATCTGACAATAAAACCGCCCGTTACGCACGTGTTTTAGCCGCAGAAGTTCATACTTGCTGTGATGGGATGGAAACTTGCAGCAGAGCAGGGAGGATCTTTTCCTGTTGCTTGCTCCTCCTTTCCTACGTGGCAGCCGGAGTCTGCAGGCTGTCACAGCCTATTATTACCAGTGTGCACAGCAAAGTTACAGATCCCAACACTGCACAGTTAAATGGCCCGACAGACTTGGGAAAATTCAGGAATCACATTACCTTACGCCCTTTTATTATTTATTATTTAAGTTGCGCTAGTGGTTTTGGGCCTAGTGTTTATTATTTTTCATTATTATTATCAATAGTATCGCTGCATTATTTTAGTTTATGTTTATTTGTTTATAATCTTTTTTTTAATTGTTCATCATTGATACAAAAATCCCTCTGCCGGCCGCTAGATGTCGCTAAAAGAGCGTTGAATTTGATCTCACGCCACATCCAAGGTGCACTGACTGAAGTCTGTCAGAGGGATCAAACTTTCTACAAAACGGGAAAATGTATTGGTGTTAAAGGTCTGCATCATTTTAAACTCTTTTGTCTGATTTTTATTTTCATTTTTACAGAATTTTTTATCTTGCAAATTTTATTCTAAATATGGCATTTTGTCATTTGTTTAAGTTAACATTAGTTAAGATTATTTATTGGACCACAGTTGTTTGGAGCTGTTTTGAGCCTTTAACAAACACATTTATAGTTGTAGCAACGCTCTTTATTGCTAGAGGGAGCCCGTGTTGCTGCTAAGAGTCATTTTGTCTCCTGAGAATATTTTTGTTTCTTTTAGGTTTTCTTGAGTAATTGTCTTTCCGTTGTAGTCTTTACAAATGTAGCATTATACTGCCTGCTTTATTAGATCAACAGGTCCTCTACAAATCATCAGTCCATTATAGAGTCATTCAGAGACATTTTAACATAAATTGTTGGAATTGTGCAAAAGCTTTAGTTACCCCTAAATTTCTTCTATTTTGTGTTCATTAAGTCAGACTTTTATTTTGGTTTTACTTTTGTTACTTGGTTTTGATCACTGAAATTTTTCAATAGAACCGATTTTCTGTCCTTGCATAACTTTCAGAAGATCACTTTTAGTTGCTAAACTACCTAACACTCGCCTATGAATCATTCACATAAAATGCTCCTAAACCCCTTGGATTAACTGTAGTTGTGTCAAGAAATAACAGACAAAACTGAGCAGAGGATCAGCTGGGAGATGGGGCTCCTCTGTAGGATCTGTGTCTAACTCTTGCTGATTCCCTCTATTTATTACCAACAAAACTTTCAAATATACTGGTTATCTGCTTTATGTGCTTTGTAAACACACACACACACACACACACACACACACACACACACACACACACACACACACACACACACACACACACACACACACACACAGATTTGTATGCATATTTGACAAATTTTTTTACAATATATCTGAAAGTCAGAGTTCTTTTTTCCTGTCTGTGGACACGTCACTGACAAGCAGCATTGAAAAATTCGACATTTTCCTCATTCCATGAATGCAGCACTGAGGCAAATTCCCTGTAGAAATGATGACCAATCAAATCCGCGTGGAAGACTTCTATTGTCAGTATCAACCTTCAGAACTAGAATATGTGCATTTCTAGTTGTTTTTACATGAACCCCTCTTTTTTTCTGACCTTCACTTTTCCATTTCCTCATTTTGATTAAAACGCGTGTTTTACACTTACATTATGTAAAAAAAAAGGTGCAACCTAAAGCCAAACTTTGAAAACGTTTTTTCCTAGCTGAACTTTAACGCAGCGCAAAGCTCCGCCCACACGCCGTGACAGGCAGCAGACGTTGTCAAACGACCGTGCTCCTCGCGTTGTTCCAGGTGTACGGTGTGTATGATATTGCGGAGGTTCTCTCTGTTTCTGGAGCTTCATCAGTCCATCTGATCGAAGCGGCCTGACGCGGTATGCTTTGTCCTTCAGCCGGCTGTCTGTCAGACGTCTGAAATGCCATTTCTCCGTCCTCGGCCCCCTTTTTTCTTAGAGAATAAAGCGGGAACGCCGCTAAAATGAAGACCGGGATAATAATTTGAGCCGCTTGTTTTTAGCTCGAATGGGAACAAGCTAGCTGTTAGGCTAGCCAGACAGCTCAGCGCACACCCGGCGGCGGCGGCGGCTCGGATATCGGATTAGTTCAGCCATGGCTGGGCTCATCAAGAAGCAGATCCTGAAGCATCTCTCCAGGTTCGTATCTAACTGGACGGGCAGCAGAGGGACACGGCTGTTTGGGCAGACAGAATGACTCAACTTTTATCAAATCGGTTACATTTTAACAAGAAATTTAGCTTGACATGAGTGGAGGAGTGTTGTGCTCTGAGCGCTAACGTCTAAAGCACTGCTGTGTTTGAACTAGCTAACGCTAATGTTAGTAGGTAAACTGGTAATCTTTGGATACTAAAGCAGGTTCAACCAGTTGAGTTGTTGAGTCAGATGGTCAGATTGCATCAATCTCAGAGTTTCTTTAGGGACGATTTTTATCAATTCAGTGGTAGTAAACGTTTCCCTATTGCACAACCTTTTAAACTCATGTAACAAGCATAATATACTGATAAGAGGGTGTTTGCACAGGTGTAAGTAGTCTTTGTAACATAACACCATTATCATGAACAAACATTAAACGTGAACTAGTTGCCTGACATCACCAGGAAAATATTGTAAGTTTGTATTTATTAGAAATACATCTAAACAGAAAGATGAATTTGAATTTAGGACTGTAAAATGACAGTAAATTTAATCAGTGTCAGAAGAATAATGCACATGATTTGTAAAAAAAAAAAAAAAAAAAACTTGCTTTTGAACCAAGGATGAAAATCAACCTGATAACTGTGCCTCACGACAGCAAAACTGTCAAAGTGGTTTCAAATCGTTTCAAAAAGGACAAAAATTCAAGATGGCCACAAAATTGTATGAAGTTATTAAAAAGAGAACCCAAACAAGGCAATGACTGACAATACTTTGCTAACTGCTGAAGGTGGCAGAGAAGTGCCTGCCTCAAAGCTGGAGGGTTGCAGGTTCGAGGCCCGCTCTGTCTGCCACGGTCGTTGTGCCCTTGGACAAGGCGCTTCTCCCTCTTTGCCTGCTGGTGGTTGTCGGAGGGACTGGTGAGGCCTGTGTTTGACAACCTCACTTCTGTCAGTGCACCCCAGGGAAGATGTGGCTACATTGTAGCTCATCATCACCAGTATGTGTGGGTGAATGAATGTGTTGTTTATGTTTATGCTTATGTTTATTTATTTGGCAGACGCTTTTATCCAAAGCGACTTACAATTTGTTGTAAAGCACCTTGGGGGGGGTTGTAGGACCCTAGAAGGTGCAATACAAATGCAGGCCATTTACTGGCGTTTTCCTTTTATTTGTGTACATGCGCACAGTCCGAATGTCTTCAGTAAACAAGGTAAAACAATTTAAAAAAGCTAATTCAGATTACATCTATTAGCATTTTAGAAAAAAAAAATTCATAGAAATGTTTGTTCTGGGTCAAATGATTGGCACTGCCATGAGGCTCGGTTTTGTTATTTTTAGCTGTAGCAGCACGCTGTTATGAGCAACATTTAGCTCCTCGCAGTTGCATGAATTATTCATTCTTTTCCACCGTGTCTCAGGGAACTCTCGATGCTTCCTTGTTTTGTTTGTGGAGGGACCTTAAAGGGGCATTATGGAAGTTTGACGGCCAAAACATGTATAGAAATAATAAATGTCTTCTTCATACATTCTCCTGCAATGCCCTGGTCCTGTAGAATGAGCCCTGGCATTTTTACTGTGATTGCCTGTTTTTCTGTAAAATCACAGAAAAAGAGAGATGCTCGGGTCGAGCAGGCTGCTTCATGCGCGTTCACGCTCAGGCATAGCCCGTAGCATTTGCTATCCATAGCTTTAGCAGCAGAGAGAGAGGTAGTGCCACTTTGTTGCTGTTCCTAACGCCTAGTGGCAAAGCTAGCTACATTTCTGAGGACCCTTAGCTACTTTCTGTGGAACTTTTTTCTAGATATTTCCTGCAAATTAGCAACAAAATAGCCATTTTTGCTCCGAACCGTTCTTTGAACGTTGTTTCAGCTGTCATCAAGGATATAAATCTTACAGATACAAAAGATGTCACTGGCGCTTTAGCTCACCTAGTAAGATGTCTGACTCCCATGCAGAAGACCTGGGTTTGATTCCAGATGTGAACATAGTTTATTTAGAGTTTCTTTTTTACATTAATGATATATTTTTTTTACAGTAAGATGCCCAAATTTTTATTTGAGACTCGCCGAATGGCATTGAATTCACAGATTAAAAAAATGTGGGTTCAACTTTCATTTTGGAACAATTTTTCAAGCAAGGGAATGGAATGATCTGAGCATGCAGGAGGACTGACCCATCTTAAACCTTTGTCGGCTGTGCTGAAGAGAAAGGTACAGAACCAAATTATTTAATTAATTAGCTGCGCGTTCTCCTGTGCTCTGTCCTCCGGGCCACACACACACACACACACACACACACACACACACACACACACACACACACACACACACACACACACACACACAAGGGACTGTCTCAGCTGTTATTTTCGTTAAGGAATGTGCACGTACAGCATGTGCACCTCGTGCACGAGCCTACTATTGAAGCTGCCGTTACGCTTTTGGCCTGAGGGGGCAATCACGAGCATAAAAATTCAAAACTCCATAAAGTCCCTTTAAAGCAAACAACAAACATAATAAAAATGATTCAATCAGACCTTTAACTATTTCAGTGTATTACAATCTAATTGCAGCAGGTCATTAATGAAACAAGTCTCAAAGGAGTTTTGTCTAGTCTGACTTGTGTTGCTGAGAAGAAAAGTCACACTTTCCTCTTTTTTTGTGACTTTGTCCTGTTACTTGCTGAAAGTCAGAAGCAAAATTAGCCCTATCAGCAACACACAGCCAGTGTATCATGTCCTTCACCATCCTAGTCCACATCAATGGTGTGTTGATAGTAACAAGTGTTTTTGCACATGGCTGTGCTCACCCCTCAGCAGCATTAACATTACCGCTGACGGGAAATGACTTGAAGAGTTGTGATATCACCCAGCTTTCTGCTTGTCATCTGAGCTTTCCGCTATCCTGATTGGTCCGTCAGTGAGTGGAAGCTGACCGGTCGAACAGCCGGCCAATCGTGCTTAGTTTTGTGTGATAATGTCACACCGCTGGTGTCAGAATAGCAAAGCAGCATCAGCTCATTTACTCCACTGTGTGAATACGCTTTCAGGAAGGTGATTGGATACTTGGAGCAGCATTGATCTGCTTCATCAGCATCAGCCTGGACAACCTACTGCTGTTAGGTCCCGTTTCTATAACTGTAGGTGTGCTTACACAGCTACAGGTGATGTTGTGGGTGTCAACATGTCGGCTGTAGCAGAGGACATATCTGTTTACTATGGTCTGGGACCAGGATTATACGCACATGCACTGATGCGTGAATCCAACTGAGACCTTTATTAGATAAGCAGATCATTTTTTATTAGGACATTCTGAGTAGTTACGTGTGTTTGCCTCCAGGTGGATCTGTGTAATGTTTCACAGAAGGTCAAGTTGAGGCAGCCCCTAGGGGGGAGTTAAGACAGAGTGTGTTCTCGTCGCTGATAGAGACGCAGGTTTGAGTATTGATGCAGCTCTGGCTCTAAGCCAGATTGTGTTGCAGACACGTACGCGCGTGGAGACGGAGAACATCAGCTAGACGGGCTCCCATGCTTTCTAGTGGCGACCGTCTCCAGCTTGAATGGTGAGGTTAAAGGTCAAGAACCGCTACTGAAATGGAGCTTAAATTCATGTTTTCCAGCAGTGAGTCAGAATATTTTCTTTCCCTCTTTAGTTTCTCCTCCTTTCTTTCCTTGCATTGTTGCAGTCTCCCATGTTTGTTTTCCTTGGTTGTCTCAGTCCATTCTCACTTGCCTGTTGAGAAATGTCACTCTCACTTTCTATTTCACCTTTTGGAACCATAAAATGTGAGATTCCATAGAAATATGAAATATCAATCTGATGGATCTTTGAATATTTTAACCAGAAGATCAGAACTTTTTATTGCAGGGATTAAGCGACACTTCGTATTAAGTCCAAGGAAAGAGAGTCAGGTTTATAATAGTCAAGAAATTTATTTCTACACAATTTAAACAAGACTAACTTTAACACTCTGTGTACTGATGGAACTAAGGTGGAATGAGACGTGAGGTGAATGATGGTGTGTGTGTGGAATGTTATTCAGAACCTTAGGATTCGGAGAAGCAGTTAGTTCTGAGTGGGAGTGAATGTTTCGCTCTAAACTTTAGTAGGAGATTTATAACACACATGAGATGCCATCTGTCGGTCTACGTACCCCAGGGGAAGCCTCCGATTAGATCCAGAATGTCGAGGTCCTCTTGGACCCTCCTTGGAACCGAAGCCGGTAGAAAAGCAGCGGTGCCGACCAAACTAGCCTTGGAATGCTTCCAGGTCACGACAGGTTATCATTGGCGTTCAGCGAGACCCTGAAGGGGTCGTGAGGTTCAGCTTTTATTCTGAAGGAACCGTTGCGGTCAGGTGTAACTTGCAACAGATTTTATCCAGCTTGTCGAGGTTCTTTATGGCTGAAGAGGAAGTCCGGATGGCCTGTCCGAGACTTCTCTAGAATGCTTGAACTAAAGAAAAGTAGGCGTTGAATAGTTTTTATAATTGTCATATTTTGGTTTACTGGCGAATCAGAATTTGACATGCAAAAGGGGGTTTATACAAACACCACAGAAAACCACGCCTCGCGCCAGAAACGAAGGTTCTGATTGGGTCAGACAAAAGGAAATGTGTTGTGTGACTTTAGCATTACTCTGTGACATCAGTGTCTAGTGCAAATGTCCAGGATTATAATTACTTGTAAAATACTACTGATCACAGGATTATAATATCAAGTAATAACATTGTCATTTCACAGACTGGTTGAACATTGGGCTCACATTATTATTGGTAATAACAAAGTTGTTGATTATGTGTTAATCAAAAAAGAGTTCTTCGTCTTCGTCTTGAGCTGTCCACAGGTGAAGCAGTTTAGATGAGCAGAGTGCATGAAAGACCTTGGCCACTATCTCATGTAGATTAGGCTGTCAGAGACTTTATGTCTCTGCTCGAGCAGACGCAGCAGATCATGACCTTTAGGTCAAAAACAGGACATTTCATGATGCTACACCTCTGTTCTAAATGACTTGAATGTCTTTAAAACCACAACAAGTAGAAGCGCTAAAAGCATTTCTTCTTCTTAAAAAAAAAGATGTTGCCAAACGCCTTTTTTTTAGTACATATAAAAAACTACAGCGTCAGGCGGTACAGTCGGCATTTCCGTCTTTTTTCTGATTGGCTATTTTTCAGCTGCCTAGTCCCGCCCCCATGTACCTCTCTGCGTGTGAGGACGAGTCTGGCAGGCCAGGCTAAGAAACAGGTGCGCCAGAGCTTTTATTCTCACAGAAAACTACTCACAAGGCATTCGTTCATACTAGAGACCACAGCAGATGCATTTAAAATGAGTGAATGATACATTTTTATTCCAGAGTTATAATTCAGTTCATCAGCGATTCTAAGCCCCACATTTACGGGAGTGTGCAGCAGTCTAAGGGCGTGAGCAGGAAGTAGCATGGCTTTAGAAATGCAGAGACGTTTAAAGACTAACAAAACACGATGTTGAGGCTGAACTCGTATCATTGATCTTTCTACGGAAAGAGTTTGTGACTCAGAGCTTGTAGAATTGATACGAAACCCAAAACATCGTGACAAGAAGCTCTATGGGTTTTTTCCCCAGAGGACTCTTCTCTCTCTCTTCAAGTTCAGCAGTAAGCCAGATGTGTTTCTGGTTTTCTGACTGGAGGTTTGGTTCTGTTCCAACTATGACAAATGGATCTGGTCAGCGTTTGTCATCATGACTCCAGTGGTCCTGTAATGGTTGTGTGATGATGCAAAAGCAGTGATGGACTCCTCTGTTCACTCTGCTGGTGGGAAAGCCATTACGCCATGAGTCATGACCGAGAGAGCCTGCTGTGGGTGTTTAATCAGTACAGAGCTGTGAAGCACTTGTGTGTAGGCGACGCTTTTGGAGCCTGTGTGTGTGTGTGTGTCACATTTGGCCCAGGTTCCTCCAGACTTAATCATCTCATGCTTCATTGAAACCTGAATCTCATATTCAGGCTTTAGCTGCTTTCAAACGATGCAGCTGATCTACGATTTGGGCTTTCTGCCTCCCAAAACAAACTTTAGTCGATCGATTTCATTCTGCGTTTGATTCATTTTAACGTGGGAATTCTGTGATTTTACACACTTTAATGAAAAAGATCGTGGCGATGCGCTCTGGCCAGAAGAATCTTCTTCCCGTAGAGGAACAACGGCCCCAGCGAGGGATCGTGCGAGGCTCTTTGTTCAGCTGCTTCTGTCGATGCAAAATGCATCTGTGCAGGATTCAGAGCCACGTTGCCCGTTTTTCCCTGAAGTGAAAACATCACGCAGTCGTGGGATTCCTCATGTATTGGTACATTAAAAACGATTCCCTTGTGAAATGATTCATTTCTTTGTGCCTACTTTTATTTCTTGCTTTACGTTGCCTTCGCCTGTAAAACAACGCAGCTGTCGCCTTCGTCACTCTGGCTAAACTTATGGCACCTTAAATGCATCATCAGGGAGCACCGGGTAACTGTTTCCATTCAGGAAACTCACCGACACACGTGATGAGCCTTTTCTGCTCTGAATAGTTTGCTGGTAATTTGCTAGGCTTGTAAAAATTCTGGAAATTCTTCCAATTTCTTCAGCAAAAGTACTAAAGAATATAAGAATAATGCTTTATTGACAGCCAGGACTCACGTTTATATTTGACCTTTTTTCTTTTAACGGTGATGAAATCTAATGTCGCCGTTTGTTTATGTTTGCAAAATCCTGCAGTTTTGCAAACCAGCGTTCTTCTGCACCCACAGCTCTGCTTCTGCTGCCCACAATTATCGAGCTGTCATTCCAGGAATTCCAGAAATCTCCCTGGAGACATCAGTTGTGTCAGTCCTGATGTAAAATCATAAGGCTATTCTGTGTATAAGCCCTTCAGCTCTGGGAGCACAGGCATGGATGCTGCTGTTGAAGTGTTAATATTTAATATGAGAGGCAGGAAGAGATCTGTGACCTCATCATGAATCTGGATTTGGTCTGGTGGAGTTCAGCCCAGAACAATGACTGGACCCCACCAAAGAGAAGAAAGGGGAAATATGACAATGTGTGAACCCGATACCCTTTACCCGCAGTTGCTCCAGCAGCCATGATGAAGATCGACCTGTGTAATTTAGCATCGAGTTTAGTAGAGCTGCCGTTTCGTGGCATTCTTATTTACGCAGTGAAGAAGCTGAGGAGCAAGAGCGTGAGCTAACCTAGCAGCCTAGATGATACCGTATCAGCTGCAGGAATGGATGTTTCCCAGGTCGAGACGCTGCTGCACAGACCGACCGTGTGTTTCTGACATCATTTATGCCCGCGTGTTCGCTGATCTACATTTATTATGTGTGCTTTGTTTATTAGTGAGTGCGTTTCGTCTTGCTTTTCTGTGTCGAGGATCTGTTTACGCCTCTGCTGCTGAATAATTTACTCTGATGCTGAATTGGAGAAGAATCCAACACAGCAAGGAGATGGTGCTGAAAGGTGGAAACACAAATTTGACTGACTGAATAATTTAAAATGTTTTTTTTTTTATATCGCTAAGTGGTGCTCGATGGACAGCCTTCACGCTTCTTCAGTAGCAGAAGCTGATGATGAAAGTTTGTCCATTTGTTTGTTTATGTGTGGGTAGCAGCTGCAGCAGAGGCCCGAACCGTCCTCCGCTCCACCAGTGGGACCCCAACACGGCCAGCCCGGAGATCAAATCTCCTCCAGCGTGTCCTGAGGCGACCTTTCTCACTTTATCTCAGCTGAGCCACACCACCCAAAGAGGAAACTTATTTTGGTCTGTTGTGTTGGCGGGCTAATCTTCTTCCTGTCTCGACCCAAAGCTCATGACCTCAGGAGAGGGTTGGGATGAAGATCGAGCTTTGCTCCTCTTCACCAAAACCAACCAGTCCAGCATCGGCATCACTACGGACGCTGCCCTGATCCACACGTCGATCTCCCGCTCCCTCCATCCTTCACAAGACCCTGAGATACCTAAACTCTTCCATTTTTGTCTTTATTTGAAAAAGATACATTGAATTGTGCTGCTCAGGGACTTTTTCTCATTAGTTTGAATGCTTGAACTCACATTGCTTCTAAATGATAATAAAGTGACTTGCAGTTAAAGTTAGTTTCTGTTTCATGACCAGTTTCATCACAGTTCCACTGAAGCTACATGAATTGTTTTGATACAGCTAATTGAATCACTCCCAGGTGCTCAGATAGCTCCAGAGTGGTAAACACCATTATTTATTGTTCTAATGACCAAGCCCAAGGTCCGTCCATCCATTTTCTGAACCCGCTTTGTCCACGCAGGGTCGCGGGGGTATCTCCAGCGGTCAACGGGCAATCAGGCGGGGTACACCCTGGACAGAGAGCCAGTCCATCGCAGGGCAACACAGAGACACACAGGACAAACAATCACACACACACACACACACACACACTCACACCCAAGGACAATGTAGACAGACCAATCAACCTGACAGTCATGTTTTTGGACTGTGGGAGGAAGCCGGAGCACCCGGAGAGAACCCACGCATGCACAGGGAGAACATGCAAACTCCATGCAGAAAGATTCCAGGCCGGGAAGCGAACCCAGGACCTTCTTGCTACAAGGCAACAGCTCTAACCACTGCACCACTGCGCAGCCACCAAGCCCAAGGTTTAAATACAATTCAGACCAAGATCAGGAGCATTTGCAGTTGTGCTTGTGAAGACGGTGAAATGTGATTTGTACCCTTGGACATGGGTCAGTAAACCGTGTAGTGTCTGGTCACTCTGCTAACCATTAACTAATGGTCAGACTGCTGATTTTTTTCATGGTGAGGTCGTGGACTTTACGTTTGTGTTTAGGTCGCTTCATTTGGGTCAAAATGCAAATACGGTTGTACGGTTATGTATTAATCCTGGCTGTACTAAAGTAAAAGTTTCCGTACTTAAATGTTTTCATAAACAGCAGCTCTGTCAAGAGCGACACCTGCGCCTGCTCCTTCCTTCCCTTTTCTTCGTGTTAAAATCATTCGTTTGTGAGCTGAGGAAGTGTTTTTGTGATTCTCTCCATCACTCCATTCGTGACTTGATGTCAGTTATTTGTGTTTGGTCCAACAGAAGCAGATTGGCAAGGAGGATACATTTTAGAAATTCTAGTTTTTGTCTTCTAAAGTGTGTGTGTGTGTGTGTTGCAATTGGTGTCAAACACCAGAAGAATGTCGGGCGAGGACTGTTGCTTCTCCATAAATATCTTCTGGGTCGAAGCTTAACTCCGCCTCCTTGTTCTGTAGGTTTGCTAAGAACCTGTCGCCAGACAAGATCAACCTGAGCACGCTGAAGGGGGAGGGCCAGCTCACCAACCTGGAGCTGGACGAGGAGGTTCTCCAGAGTGTGCTGGACCTGCCCACCTGGCTGGCCATCAACCGTGTGTTCTGCAACAAGGCTACCATCAGGGTGAGGGTCACCATTGCTTCATAAGAGAATCGGTGGAGATTAGTTTAACTTTAGGAGAGGGGATTAAAACGATGTGCTTTATAAAGACAGGGACCATTGTTGTCTTTCGTTTGACCCATTCTGCCATCGTTCAGTGTAAACTCAGATGATCTCAAGTTGATATTGGTTATAGGGATGCTGCAATCATGTCTTTGGTTGCCCATCACCAATACAGATCACGGATTTACTGTAAATTTGAGTGCTCCTGGCTTTGTTTTCTACTCACATCTTCTAATCTTCCTCCTCACAACTCAAGTGTTAGAACTGAAGGAGCCTCTCGGATGAGAGGCGTTAAAATGTGCACGTCTGCAGACACGTTTGTCGTTGTGCGCCTGTTCAGTATGAAAGAAGAGAGGGAAACGCTGCACTGCACACAGGATCTCTGCAGGCTGCCGTCTGAGCTCCAGGTGATCACCTGGTGTGAACGGCACTGAGAGGCAGCGATCAGAATACGCCGGTCACATACTTTTACAGAAATCATCGGTGGTGGTCGGTGGCTGATCGATTGGAACAATACCGGTTACAACTGTTGTCGTGAAATTTATAACGATAAGAGTGATCTCGTGTGATATCGCAGGATTTTAAGCGGTCAGACGGTTGAAGTTCACTAACATTGTGTAACTTAAGTTCTACCAGCATCTTTTTTCCTCCTGCTTGCTGCTGCTTCAGTTTCACAAAGCTAACAGAGCTGATGCTGGTGCAAAGATGTCCACGGTGTGCAAAAGACCAGAGTAATGTGCACTTGTTTAGCACCTGATTGTCCAGCACAGACTGAAGGATAGAGGGGTCAGAGACAAAGGTCAGACGTTCTTTAACCGAAGGTTTTAACGGATGAAGGACAAAGTCTCTCCTCCATTCGGGATAAGACGTTGAATGATTCCCAGACCTGCACCTTCTCATTTTCACTTCAAAATAAAACAGAAGTGATTATTTTTATTTCAACTTTTTGTACGCAGCTGTACTCTTTCTCTCACATGAAGACTCCTCTCATTGTCAAGGCTCCACAGTGGAGCAGCGCCGGAGTCGGGCTCTATGTGATTAAATGTTCTAGATCATAGTTTAGAACTTAGACACTTCTTAGTGGCAGCAACGGGACGCTTCCTGGTTTAACAGTTTATTTACGAAGCAGTCTGACTCGTCGCCGGGTGAGATGATGAATTATAGTTTTCCTGTAAACTCTTAGGTGCAGTAAACTTCCAGCAGAAGCCTCTTTTCGTCATTCCTTTTCTCCCCCGAGACGGAAAAACCACCTGATAGTAAAATGTTCACACTAAAGAGTGCAGCTCTGTTCTGCAACAGGAAATGACATAACAATGGGTTGTTTTATGTTTAAATTCAGCATAATGTCACAAATAAATGGGCACAGTGCAGCGGAGCGTATAGGCCGGGACCTCAGAATCGGATTCAAATGTTCCTTCCCTTTTTTTTCCCCCTGGGGCTTTGAGAATAGACGGAGACGCTAAACTCTGAATTGCTCTTTCAAGAGAAGCGCAGCTTTTTGGTAAATCTGGGCCAGAATATGTGTCACAAGTAACTCTCAGCTACAATCACATCATCTTTAGCTCATTATCAGTAAACTCCACTAGTTACGGGCATTTTTGTCTTTACTAGCTGGTGGCCTTCTTTAATGGGGCTTTAGTTAACTGTAAATGTTACAGCCAGACAAGATCCTCGGAGAGTTGCCCAAAGCTCCGTCTCAGCTCACGGACACACCCTGGAAATATCAAAGGGAGCTATATAATTAACTTCTTCATGACTGGACTTTCATTCCGACCAAAGTCCGTTTTCCACCTCCTCCTTTCCCCGTTTCCATTGCTTCACTTTCTCCTCTTTAGTTCCAGCTTTAAATAAAATTCTCAGTATTTTAATTATTGAAACTAATAATTTGGCCAAAGAGCAACTGAGCCAACCTCTTTATTCCTGGTTGTATTTTACAGGCTTGAAAAAGCACCTTCTTCTCTTTCCTGTTCCTCAGGCTGCATTTCTGATCCTTTACAGTCCGTTCTTGTGCTGCACCTCAGCAAAGCTAGACGGGATTTCTTTAGCTTTCTGGTTTTCAGTTTCAAACAGTTTTTTTTTAAAGAAGAGAACTCTGATCATAATCTTACTTCCTCACACATTCGATCCCCGTCTCTCTCGCTTGCTTTCTTCCTGTTGCAAAACTCAACACGGTGACTTCGTCATTCTAAAATACTGTTATAAGCTGTTGATTGTTCCACTGGAATAAAGATTTGTGACTGGATGGATAAATTAGCACAATTAAATATATGGCTTCAAGTGCAAGACAGGCTGTAGCGCCCCCTGCTGGCTCCTGCAGTAATTAGAAAATGAAATGTGTTTGAATTAAAGCTTCAGACTGTAAGCCTTATTTGATTTGTTGCATAGTAGGGCTGCACAACATATCGCAAATATATTGTTATCGCGATATCGGCATGCACAACATGCAAATCGCAAAGAACAGATAAATATCGCAATGAATGGTCAGCTCAAATGTTTGCTACACATAACGCATTCTGTCCATCAAACGGAAGCATGATGTTTTTAACAAATCAAAAAGAGCTCTTCACCCATTTGGCCAATCGGGTGGGTTCTCATAGGTTAGATGCCCGCCCCCGAGGCGGACGGCACTTCATTTAGATGGTTAGTGAACACCTGAGTTAGCTTCGTTAGCTCTTTTTGCTGATTCTGCTTTTCCCGGCATCCACGGATTGCCTTTTCTTGTTCATTTTAATTTTCCCTTTCCTCACATCTTTTGCTTTTCTCATTTTTATGATTTTTAAATATTTTTGTTTTTGATTATTTTTGTTCCTGAGTTAAGTTTTTATTTATCGCAAGTAATATCGCCATCGCAATATTAATCATTGCTATCGAATATCGCAGGTTTTCCTAATATCGTGCAGCCCTATTGCATAGCAAATGACACGTTGCTCTATGTTGAACACATTTATTTTGTTATTTGACTTAAAATAAAAACTATTCATGTTTAGGATTAATGGAGGGAACGACCCGCCTTGATACATCTAAATCATCAGCTTTCCTTTAAGCTAGTTTCTAGCTGCATTGGTTTAATACTGTGCAGTTCAGTGATCGCTAGTTTAGTATTAACAACACAAATAAGTACTTGTACACATTAGGAAGCTGAAAATGTGCTGTGTTCACCAACAGATACCCTGGACAAAACTGAAGACTCACCCAATCTCTTTGGTAAGTTTATACTTTTGCAGTTTTATTTTTTTTAATATTATAAGAAAAAAATGAATAAACTGTCCGGCCCAAAAATGTAACACCTGGATTTAACTAAGCAAATAGGTACGAGCCTCCTATAGCCTCCTACAACCATGTGGAAAGACACATCTGGTGACTGTGGAAAAGATGTTAGTCAGTGTGAAAAGGGTCAGATTGTTGGCATCAAGCAGAGAAAACATCTAAGGAGATGCAGAAGTGACTAAAACTGGGTTAAGAACTGTCCAACGCATTATTAAAAACTGGTCTGAGTCCAGATGGACCCTGTTCCAGAGCGATGGTGCATCAGGGTGAGAAGAGAGGCAGATGAAGTGATGCACCCATCATGCCTAGTGCCTATTGTACAAGCCTGTGGGGGCAGTGTTATGATCTGGGCTTGCTGTTGTTGGTCAGGTCTAGGTTCAGCAACAGGATGTGCTCCAAGAATGATGTCAGCTGACTACCTGAATATACTGAATGACCAGGTTATTCCATCTTCCCTGACGGCACGGGCTTATTCCAAGATGACAAAGCCAGGATTCATTGGGCTCTGATAGTGAAAGAGTGGTTCAGAGTCCAGACCTTAACCCCAGGGAGAATCTTTGGGATGTGCTGGAGAAGGCTGCATGATTATCTAAAAGTGTGTAAATCTTTTAAATGATTCGAATTTTGACTTTAAAAATCTAACTTTCAAATGAAAAGAGAGCTGTTGCTAAAAACACAAAGACATAAAACACTTTTAATCTTGAATCAGGTGAGTGGGAGACGGACAAATCCAAAGTATCAGGAACAATTTCAGCTTGAACTAAGACTGTTTCTGTAAGTTTTACAACTTTACTGTCAAGTAAATCTTTTATACATTTGTATAAATTCCTCTCCGATATCATCACCATTCTCCTGTCTACACGCAGCTTTACCATCACATTGTCTCCAGTCTGCAGCTTCATGGCTGCCTCGTTGTTCTGCTGTAACCCATCATCTTTCTTCAGCATCATCTCACCCATCAGCCTATTAACCATCATGAGCGGACGTCTTGTCGTACACACGATGCAGCTTTGCAGAGCAGGGACACTAACTGTTCTAGTGAATTCAGTATTTTGATCTGAGGCTGTATCTCCCATGCCTTCTTAAACAGATTTGTAATAGACTAATGTTTTAATAGCTCTGATATCTTGCTTGAGCGTTTCTGAATCTTTGCCACGGCTGCCGTACCAGTGAGCAGGACGCAGGTGTTGGGTTAACAGCTGCCTGCCAGGCTGCTCCCCAGATAGCTGCTGTTCCCTGCAGCACTCAAGCTGCTGGGAATCAGCAATCATATATGCTCCGTCTCTAAACCCCGGATGTTTTGGAGAATCCTCAGAGCTTGGTTGTAGGTTCATTAAAATGTGTGTGGAGCACAAAACCACGAGTTAAACAGCCCGTCTCTGGAGAGGCGTCGTACAGCAGCACAGCAGAGAGGTACAAACCTGAAACTATTACTAACTAACTAAAACTTTATTTACATAGCACCTTCACACGGCCCAAGGACCAAACAAAGCGCTGCACAGCAGAAATAAGCATAAAAAAGAATAAAAACATATAAAACCATTTAAAAACCAACAAAAACATGCAGATAAAATCTAGGCGGAGCAGCAAAAAGTGCAAAGCTATCAGTTAACGGGACTCTTCCTGAATAAAAGCTAAAGAATAAAAGTGTGTTTTCAGCTGGCTCTTGAACTTGCCGAGCGTGGTGTCCTGTTTAACACACGTAGGTAGCTCATTCCAGAGCCTCTGCCCCAGTACCGAGAAAGCCCGACCCCCTCGGGATTGTAGTCCGTGTTTAGGAACGACCAACAGTCCTTGTTGTGCTGACCGAAGGTTCCTTGCGGGAACATAAGGATGGATCAGATCCGCCAGATAACGTGGAGCCAACTCGTTTAAACATTTAAAAAGAAACACCAGAACTTTAAACGAAATTCTAAAAGAGACTGGAAGCCAGTGTAGGGATGCCAAGACGGGCGTGATGTGTTCAGATCTCCTGGTCCCAGTCGGTAACCTGGCTGCCGCGTTTTGGACCTTCTGTAGTTTCGCTATGGAGGCCTGCTTGATGCCTGCATAAAGCGAGTTACAGTAGTCCAGTCTGGTGGTAATGAAGGCGTGGATGACAGTTTCCAGATGTTTACGTGATAGCAGCGGCTTAATCCTAGCTATTCTCCTGAGATGGAACTAGCAGGTTCTGATTGTTCCATTGACCTGGGTCATTAATCGCCTCATCTGTAGAAACACACAGGAAATCTCAGGTCTTCATCCTTGTTTCTTGTTTTTGTGTGATATGAATCTCAAGCTTTTAGTCTGATTGCAGATTAGAGAAATCTATAAAACTAATTCCTCAGCATGATTCCTCTTTCAGTCTCTGGATAAAGTGATGATGGAGATGAGCACGTGTGATGAGCCTCGTCCACCCAATGGTCCGTCTCCCATAGCAACCGCATCAGGACAAAGGTGGGCGTCTGGGTGTTTATATTTGATGGACTGGACTTTACACCACACCTGTCTTGATCATGTACCTTGTGTACAGTGAATATGGCTTTGCTGAGAAAGTGGTGGAGGGGATCTCGCTATCCATCAACTCCATCGTCATCAAGATCAGCGCCAAAGCCTTCAACGCGTCCTTCGAGCTCTCCCAGCTGCAGGTGCACAGCGTCAACACCAGCTGGAGCATCAGCGACCTGCGGTTCACTCGCATCCAGGATCCTCAGAGAGGGGAGGTGAGTATTTGTTGTTTTACAGCTAAATCTGCATTACCAATCCCACTCTCGTTTGAATTCATTCCTCTGTTTGCCCTAGATCTTGATGTTTAAAGAAATCAGCTGGCAGATGATCCGCATCGAGGCCGACGCTATCCAGAGCGCCGAGCATGAGATGCTGAGCGCTCCAATCCGCCTCATCACCAACCAGTCAAAGATACGAGTCACTCTTAAGAGACGGGTTAGCGTCACTCGGTCCCTCTGCTGACTAAAACATGTTCCTTCCCAGGCTGCAGGCCCAGCAGCTCTGAGCAGCATCTGTTATTTATTACGTCTGTAAAGTCGATCTGTACAAAATAGTTCAACACAGCTTATGCAGAATGAAGGCGTCCTCCACCTACATGTTTCATGCTGATATGAGATTCCTGATGCAGATAAAAGACTGTAACGTGGTGACCTCCAAGCTGATTCTGATCCTGGACGACCTGCTGTGGGTGCTGACCGACTCCCAACTGAAAGCTATGGTCCAGTACGCAAAGTCCCTCAGCGAGGCCATGGAGAAGTCTGCACAGCAGAGGAAGAGCATGGCGACAGATGATCAGGTGAAGGACACATTTCTGCTGTTCTGTGTCCCTCTCATGGCACCACACTGAGTCTACCCGTCTCATAGTTGGTATTTTCTCTCCACTGGGGCACATAAGCAGTACAGACACTCAGCATCTACACTAAATCACACATGTCAGCCAGTGTTCCTCCTGCAGTTTGGTCCAGAACACCATGTGGTGGAAGCTTTGAGCGCCAGCTGTTTGAACGTTGACATGATCCATTTGTCAAAATCCAAAGAACCCAATAAAGACATTTGAAGCATCAGTCAGAACAACTCTGTGTGTATTTGCAGGTCTCATCGCAGCCTCCATCAGCCCAGCAGGTTCGAACCCATCAGGCGTCCCCGGCCGCCGACCAGAGCGCCACCATAGCCAAACTGTTCGCCGCCTACGACGTGTGCGAGACTTCCCACCACCTCCAGATCACGCACCTCGACCTGCACATCTGTGATGACATCCACGCCAAGGACAAAGGTATAAATTCAGACCAGAGCACACACACACACACACACACACACATATGTACAGTGGGGCAAAAAGTATTTAGTCAGCCACCGATTGTGCAAGTACTCCCACTTAAAACGATGACAGAGGTCAGTAATTTTCATCATAGGTACACTTCAACTGTGAGAGACAGAATGTGAAAAAAAATCCATTAATTCACATGGCAGGATTTTTAAAGAATTTATTTGTAAATCAGGGTGGAAAATAAGTATTTGGTCAATGACAAAAATTCAACTCAATACTTTGTAACATAACCTTTGTTGGCAATAACAGAGGTCAAACGATTACTATAGGTCTTTACCAGGTTTGCACACACAGTAGCTGGTATTTTGGCCCATTCCTCCATGCAGATCTTCTCGAGAGCAGTGATGTTTTGGGGCTGTCGCCGAGCAACACAGACTTTCAACTCCCTCCACAGATTTTCTATGGGGTTGAGATCTGGAGACTGGCTAGGCCACTCCAGGACTTTCAAATGCTTCTTACGGAGCCACTCCTTTGTTGCCCGGGCGGTGTGTTTGGGATCATTGTCGTGTTGGAAGACCCAGCCACGTTTCATCTTCAAAGCTCTCACTGATGGAAGGAGGTTTTGGCTCAGAATCTCACGATACATGGCCCCATTCATTCTGTCCTTAACACGGATCAGTCGTCCTGTCCCCTTAGCAGAAAAACAGCCCCAAAGCATGATGTTCCTACCCCCATGCTTCACAGTAGGTATGGTGTTCTTGGGATGCAACTCAGTATTCTTCTTCCTCCAAACATGACGAGTTGAGTTTATACCAAAAAGTTCTACTTTGGTTTCATCTGACCACATGACATTCTCCCAATCCTCTGCTGTATCATCCATGTGCTCTCTGGCAAACTTCAGACGGGCATGGACATGCACTGGCTTCAGCAGCGGAACACATCTGGCACTGCAGGATTTGATTCCCTGCCGTTGAAGTGTGTCACTGATGGTGACCTTTGTTACTGTGGTCCCAGCTCTCTGCAGGTCATTCACCAGGTCCCCCCGTGTGGTTCTGGGATTCTTGCTCACCATTCTCATGAACATTTTGACCCCACGGGATGAGATCTTGCATGGAGCCCCAGATCGAGGGAGATTATCAGTGGTCTTGTATGTCTTCCATTTTCTGATAATTGCTTCCACAGTTGATTTTTTCACACCAAGCTGCTTGCCTATTGTAGATTCACTTCCCAGTCTGGTGCAGGTCTACAATTCTTTTCCTGGTGTCCTTCGAAAGCTCTTTGGTCTTGGCCATAGTGGAGTTTGGAGTCTGACTGTTTGAGGCTGTGGACAGGTGTCTTTTATACAGATAATGTGTTCAAACAGGTTCCATTAATACAGGTAACGAGTGGAGGACAGAAAAGCTTCTTAAAGAAGACATTACAGGTCTGTGAGAGCCAGAGATTTTCCTTGTTTGAAGTGACCAAATAGTTATTTTCCACCCTGATTTACAAATAAATTCTTTAAAAATCCTACCATGTGAATTCATGGATTTTTTTTTCACATTCTGGCTCTCACAGTTGAAGTGTACCTATGATGAAAATTACTGACCTCTGTCATCATTTTAAGTGGGAGAACTTGCACAATCGGTGGCTGACTAAATACTTTTTTGCCCCACTGTACGTCACCTGCATGTTTTATTGTCTTTATGCCAGTTTTGATCCAGACTACAAGGATAAATACACAAATCTGTTTCGTTTGAGGCTTTTATTATTATTTTTTTACTAAAGTGGGGCATTGTCTGCACAGTTATAAATAAGAGGATAACTGGTGGAGCCATGCAGCTTTCCTTCAGCTCCATCACTCTGGACTACTACCCTTTCCACAGAGCAGGTACGGGTTTCTGTTCAAGGCTTCCTTCTCCCTAAATCTGTTTTTGATTCAACGGAAGGCTATTTGGACACATCTGCACCCATGTTTCCAGGTGAAAGCTGTGTCCACTGGATGCACTACAGCGAAGCCACTAAAGCCAGAGAGAGCTGGGCCACGAGTCTGCTGGATGAGTTCAAATCCAACGTGGAGATGCTGAAGAGTGCAGTTCGAGACAAGCGCAGCCCGAGCGCTGCACGCAGCTCCCCACATCACGGTAAACGATCACACACGGAAAACACACGCCGAGTCATTCTAACCTGGTTTTAGCCTGTTTGTCCTCCTGGCACCCACGGCGTGTCATCCCCTGTGGGTTTTCTGTCCTCTAGTGTCCTTTAAGGACGATGTGTGTGAGCCTCTAGGGGGTCAGGAGAGAGCAGGAGGAGAAGTAGGGCTTAGGGAGGCAGATGGAGGTCTCCTAGAGTGGAGCCCACACACACGGCCTCCACCTCAGTGCTGCTGGTGCCTAGAACCAGGTACCCCCACGTGTGTGTGTGTGCGCACAGCTGGGTGCGGTGATGCGCACCTTCTGTTAGGATCAGGGGTTTGTTTTTGGTAGCTGAAAAGTGTGTTTTCTTCACTTGGTCTCTCTCATTTTTTTCTTTTCCTCCTCAGGTAAGATAAACACCTCCTCCTCCAGCACTTCCTTCAGTCCTCCTCCTCCTCCTCAGAGTCCAAAGACCCAACTCATGTCCAGCTCTGTTGTTGTCAGGATGGCAGACTTCAGTATCTACCAGGTCACTACAGTAACCCCTAGCGATTGAGGCTGTGTTGTTTTATTTATGGGCCGGTAACTTTCTGCCTATTTTGTATTTCAGGTGTCAACAGCTGATCAGCGCCGCTCCACCCCAAAGACCATGATCTCCTGTAATAAGAAGTCCTTGTACCTGCCTGCAGAGATGCCGGCTGTCCATGTCGAGTTCACAGAATATTACTTCCCTGATGGAAAAGACTACCCCAGTACGGCAGCTTCTACCTACACCTGTGTCTCGTTCATGAGGCAGCCATGACAAAAAGCTGTTAAATGAAAAACTCCACAAGCTCTTATCGTTGTTCATCTGTTGTCTGACTCTTTGTGTTTAAATGTAATCCTCCTCCTGCTGCTCCTGCTGCTGCTGCAGTTCCTTGTCCCAACCTGTACGCTCAGCTCAACGCCCTGCAGCTGGTTCTGGACCCTCGCAGCCTGGTTTGGATCAACCTCTTTGCTCTGGACCTGCGTCAGAGTCTGGAGCAGTTCATGGAGATCTACAAGCTCAACGACTCCCAGAAACCTGACGAGCACGTTGACATCAAGGTCGATGGCCTGATGCTGAAAGTAGGACGTCTAGAGAAAACACGGTGCTGTTCTAAAGGTTTTTATGTTAAAGTCGACGTTCTCCTCAAGCTCGTTGTTTGGTTTCTGTTCCTCTGCAGCTGGTGGTTCCCACCGATCAGGACGCCTGCTGCCCTGCAGACCTGCCTCGCTCCGTCTCCGTACAGACTTCAGAAATGACGGCCACCAACACCCGGCACCCGGCCAACTGCACCCGCTCCCACCTCGAGGCCTTGCTGCAAGCTTTTGAAGCAGAACCGTTCTTCTCTTCATCTTTTTCCTCGTTTCCTCGCTCCTCCTCCTCTGTGCCCATCCTTCATTCTGTCTTCCAGCAGCACGCTCATGAACAAGACACTAAAATGCACGACGTCTACCGGGGACTGGTGGTGCCGACGATGGGCGCAGATGCCCTCAAGATGCCTGCCGCCTCAGACTTCTGGGCACTGCACTTTGCCCAGTTTTGGGTGGACTATGAAGGCACCTGTGGGGGTAAGGGACGCCCACAGCCCTTTGTGGACTCCTTTCCCCTCACTGTGTGGGCCTGTCAGCCCGTGAAACTTGTCCAGCACCAGGAGAACCTGAGAGGATCTGCTGGAGCCGGGCTCTCCAGAAGCACCTCGATGGAGGCAGTCGCTCGTTTGCAGAGGAAACGGTTATTAAAGGAGTATTACAGCACGGACAGCGCGCCGTCGTCAGCGGTACCACCCAGTAACGGACTCTATAAACCTCCATCACTGGACAGCCTGTCTTCTTCATCCTCTTCATCATCCAGTAAAGATGCAGATGTGCACATGCTGGTGCACGTGCAGAAGCACATAAGTGCTCAGGTATGTTTTGATGGTTTTTTTTTTAATACTTTGCTCAAAAAGCTTTAATAGTTCACGTGTGTCTACTCATGTTAAGGTGAGCCATCGGCAGTTTGTGTTCCTGATGCTCCTCCAGCGCAGCCTCAAAGCTCTGCAGCAAACCCTACAGCAGGATCTGGAGGACATGATCTCCAAGAGGGAACGCAAGGACACCTCCCAGCATCCTGCTGAGCACCAACCCTTCACTTTCTGCTTAGGGCTCCTGCTCAAAAGTGCAGAGGTGTCCCTCCTCCTGAAGCCTGTACCCCAGCCTGAGGGCACAGGGTCTCCTGCAGGATCAGAGCTGTCCCCCTCAGAGAGCCGAGGAACTCTGGAGCCTGTGAGTGACGCAGGAGACGGGTCAGAGAAGGGCAATGACGGTTCTGGCTCTGAAGGAAGAGCAGCTAAGCCACCCAGCACTGTGGACCAGCTGCTGTGTTGTGAAGGTCCAGAGAATGGAGCCACACAGGGTCCTGCTCCTCTTGTCCCCTCCTCCAGCCCTGCCACACGCCCTGACTCTAATCACGACGCCACAGAGGAGGAGAGGACTCCAGCTAGGAACTCTGTGAGGGCGAGCTCAGATGAGCGGGGCGAGGAAAGCCTGACAGCAGGTGACGGAGGTGGGCTAGACTCCAAATCCAGTGTGAGTGATCCTCTTTCTGATCCACTCGGCAGCAAAGACCTAAATGACAAGAACACAGCAGTGAAGATGCCTCAGTCCGTCTCCAGGTATCCCTCATTTTTTATCCAAACGCTAAACTAGAATTAACTTCATTATGATTTTGATTCATCGTATTTTAAACATCGTGGTACATTTTTACCGATGACAATGATTTTCTTTCAGTCTTAAGCTTGGCTTATGCTTGACGCATTCACTTTCCGCGCGGTGATGCAGCTCGCGGATGGAACGCGCTTCACAACTCGCAGTGTTTATGGTTTGTGCGGCTCGTCTCTGCGGTGAGCCAATATTCTCCCAAACTGTAGGGGGCAGCATGGAGCTCTACGGCATGCATCCAACACTACACCACAGTAGAAGTAGAAATTACTGTTTACAACATGACATTTCAGCATTTTTAACAGCATCCTCGTCTTTTCCGACAGTGCGAGCTATTTCTCTCCAAGAATTATTAACAACGTGTTGATCACGGTGATCTCTGAGAGCCGAATCATACAAATGTCTGTATTTACGAACCTCTGCCGCGCCGGTCCGCCATGTTTTTCCGCGTCCGACCGTCCGCGTGGTTAGAAATTTTCCGAGGTGCGTGTTGCGGAAATCTTGGGCCGTGCGTATATGTACAGTCTATGGCGGAGACGCGGTGGAGGGGCGTGGTTGTTAAAATGATGCAAAATGACGCAACTTTCCCGCGCGGAGCCGTGCGGACCTCGCGGACGCGTCAAGCATAAACCAACCTTTAACGTACTCTGTTTCAGTTTGATGGGTTTTGCATCAGGAAGCTTTTATTTTGACACATTTATCTGGGCGTACTCGTGCAGACTAATGATGCACGCAGAATCTGTCTTTCATCTGGGCTGCAATTGAAATTATTTTATTTATTTGCTAAATATTAGAAATCAGAGGCTTCTGGGAGCTGAAGAGTGTGTGTGTGTGTGTGTGTGTGTGTGTGTGTGTGTGTGTGTGTGTGTGTGTGTGTGTGTGTGTGTGTGTGTGTGGTGGGGAGGCATCCTTCTGGGGTTTCCGTTCCAGAGCTGCAACTCAGTGGCTGAAGAATAAAAACACATTATTTATATTTACAGAAGGAAATCACCCAGTGGAACCGGACTTAATTAAAGATGCCGCTGAGAAACGTCAACTTTAGGGGATGTTTCTGTTTCATCTCGTCCTTGTCGTCGTCTTCCTCCGCTTATCCGGGTCGCGGGGGCAGCATCCCAACTAGGGAGCTTCAGACCATCCTCTCCCTGGTCACCTCCACCAGCTCCTCCGGCAGGATCCCAAGGTGTTCCCGGACCAGATTGGAGATGTAACCTCTCCAACGTGTCCTGGGTCGACCCGGGGGCCTTCTGCCGGCAGGACATGCCTGAAACACCTCCTCAGGGAGGCATCCAGGAGGCATCCTGACCAGATGCCCAAACCACCTCAACTGGCTCCTTTTGATCCGAGGAGCAGCGGTTCTACTCCGAGTCCCTCCCGAATGTCCGAGCTCCTCACCCTATCTCTAAGGCTGAGCCCGGCCACCCTACGGAGGAAACTAATTTTGGCCGCTTGTATCCGCGATCTCGTTCTTTCGGTCATTACCCAAAGCTCATGACCATAGGTGAGGATTGGGACGTAGATCGACCGGTAAATCGAGAGCCTGGCTTTCTGGCTCAGCTCCCTCTTCACCACGACAGATCGGCTCAGCGTCCGCATCACTGCAGACGCCGAACCAATCCGCCTGTCGATCTCCCGATCCTCCTACCCTCACTCGTGAACAAGACCCCGAGATACTTAAACTCCTCCACTTGAGGTAGGACCTCTCCCCCGACCCGGAGTTGGCAAGCCACCCTTTTCCGGTCGAGAACCATGGTCTCAGATCTGTTTCATCTCGTTCAGAGTAACAAACTAATGGCTGCTTTGGGACTACCTTTTTTTGTTTGTTTGTTTGTTTTTTTGCTAGTAGCAGTTTTAATGTACCAATAAAAACATAATCAGCTTTTGATGATTTTAACCCAAATGATGTTTTTTCTGACTCCACAACCATTAAAGTACACGTTTTGTTGTCCCTCACCACTCTAACCTGACTGTTTAACACAAGAGCTTCGTGTTTGTCGGGGTGAACCTTCAGTCCCTCTCACTCACCATCTGTCTAAAGCCGTGTCCCGTCTGATCTCCTCAACCCTTTTTCTGCCTCTTCACTCCCACTTTGACCCATGTGAGGGGTGTGTGTGTGTGTTTTCTCTTTACAAGGAAAGGAAGTTTATCTGTGGTTTCTGACCTCCTCAGCTGCTCAAACTCCAGCAGATCCACCTCCCTTTATTCCATGTCTAACATGTAAGACTCTGGATCTGTGACTAGATGTCCTCCGGCTGGCTTCACACCCGCAGAGCCACGTGTGTTTTCCCTGCTTTTCTCCGGCTGTGTCTCACGTTTAACATCAGCACAGCTGAAACTTTCTGTCTTTCTATGGATCTAGCCAACTCTGTGGGTTTATAGAGAATTAAAACAGCTGTGAATACAAACACACAGGCTCGATGCAGCAGGTTATTAATGCAAAACACACACACACACCGCACTGCTGTTGTGAAGCCGGCATAAAGAGTGTGTTGACAGGTGATCGCGTCCTTGTTCTTGTGACTGTTTGGATAAGTACGAATCTGCAGTTTCGTGGCTGTAAGTCTCCCGAAGGCATGCGTTTGCATGCGTGCATGACTCCCCGGTCTCTGTCTTTTAGATTAACCTTTAGTTCTTTTTGTCTTTTATTATTTTTTACTTGTGATTTAAAATGTTAACAAGGAGCTTTCCTGTTGTCAGCCTTGTGTTTTCTGTTTACGTACAAATCACGTAGATTTACGGTTTGCTTAGCTTTTCTGAGACGGTTGGGAGATTAGTCTGACCTTAAACTGTCGCGGGATATTTGTTCATGACTTTCTGAGCTGCGAGGGCAGATTATTCTCTAACAAAACTGTTTATTTTTAAATAAAGTACATCAGTAAATGATTATAAATGAGTAGGTCAAGGATTAGTTTCAGTCCCATGTTACTTTTCTTTTCTACCTCACTTCTTTCCCACTCTTGTGTGTTTTGATGTAGTGGTCGTTTGATGCGAGACCGCTCCCAGTCCAGTTTCTCGGTGTCCTATAAAAACATGAAGAAGAGCCCGTCCCTGCAGTCCCTGGATAACATCTCCATCGACAGCAGCCTGCTGGAGGACGGAGACACCTACAGCTTGGACAGAGGTGGGGCTAATGTGCGCAGCCTCAAGGAGAAGATAAACCTCTAACACCCCCACATGTTCTGCTGAATGTTCTCTGTTGCCCAGAAGGTGGCAGCATCGTCCTGTTGCTGCCGACGCAAGAAGGATGGGGTGACATTAAATCTGGATTTCCACAAAGAAGCACAGGGTTGAATGTGTGTATCTTGTGTTTTATTTGCAGATGACGTTTCCATCTCGGGGTTTAAGGACACCGTCAGTGAGCAGAGCGCCACGGAGGCTGCTACTGGTCCAGAGCAGGAAGGAGGCGTGTCCCCCGACAGCGTCAGCGCTGCATCCCAGAGCATTGACGAGCCCACCAAAGATACGGTGAGATAACTGCAAAAAGCAGTTATCAGCAGCAGAATAACTTTGTTTTTGTTGAAAGGAAATTTGTCCAAATAAATATGATAAATAGCAAAAATATGAATTTTTTTTCCCAATAGTAAATCCTCCACTCGAAGCTGTTGATTGTCTTTGCCTCCAGGTGTCTGTGCTCGTATTAAAGGTGCACTCGGTGTGTGTGAGCATGGAGTCTGTGGGTGAGAGCTCGGCCGTGGCTCTGGAGGTGGGTAAGATCACCCCCAGCCAGCTGGGCAACGTCAGCCTGCGACAGTACCTGAGCAACCGCAGCCTCGGTGAGAACCGCTGCCGAAACATCCTCCGTGTGTGTGTGTGTGTGTGTGTGTGTGTGTGTGAAATATGATTTGTTAGTTTTTGCATGTTTTACTTATTTTATGTGTTCATTAACATTGTTTACTAATCTTAGTTGAATTGGACATTTTTAAACTACGGCGGGATCGGAGCATTTTAACAACTTAAACAACCCAAAAATTTCTAAAAGAAATCCTGCAGTTAAATTTGATCCTGCATGAAATGTCGGGCTTTAAAGCGAGAGGCGAGAGGACATACACGGTAGAGCAGTAAAGCAGGGCTGTGTACGTCTGCACACATTTACACACTAACAAAGCAATCCCATCACCTCCCACAGGTATGGTGTGTTCAGTACCAATACCTGCTCAGAGCAGCCAAGGTAACCGCTGGGTGTAAATCCATCACGTGTAGCCTAACATGCATGTCTTCTCTTCCCAACTGTGTGTGTGTGTGTGTGTGTGTGTGTGTGTGTGTGTTCTGTCAGGTCTCATCCCCACACTTGGGATTTTGCTTGTCAGCATGCTCTGCAGATGCAGTGTGTTGATAGCATGACATGAGTGTGTTTGCCCGTTTGTTCCAGCAGCAAGCGTATGGAGGGGTGTGTGTGTGTGTGTGCACATGTGTGCGCGTGTGTGTGAGTCAGTTACAGAAGGATAAATCTGACCGTAATTGAGTGAGTGGTCTCATTATTTGCCACATTAAGTCCCAAACCTTTAAATATGTGTGTGCTGGATTGAAATTAACTTTACAGATTTAACCCTTAATCTCCCCCCCACCCACTGCAGCAGACTGCAGTTTCAGTCCAGTGATTCAGGCAATGAGAGAAACGCCAGCTCCCCGCTTCCTACTTGTATCTCTCCTCATCCCTCCTCTCTTCCTTCTCTCCTTTCCTCTTCACTTCCCTCCAGCTCCAACTTCATCTTCCCACTAATCCCCTTTTCCTTCATCTCTCCTCCGTCTTCAGGCCATCTTCCCTCGCTCCTCCACGTCTTATCACAACCGTTCAGTCCTTTGCTTCTGGCGTCCTCTCCTCTTTCGTGTCCTCCTTTCTTTCCCCCTCACCTCCCTTCTTTTTGTCTGTGTCTACTCCGTGCAGAGCTGAGCGAGTCTGTTATTTTATCTAAGAAAAGCTGACAGCGTTGCGCGTTTCGGCGTCTTTCAGTGTTTCCTCTGCTCCTGAGACTGCTCGCTGGTGTTTAACCCTTTCCTGCCATCTTTTAGAGAGCATATCAAGGGGAAGTGATGCACTTCTCACTCTACTAATAATAATGTTGTGTTCTTCATGGCTTGCTGAAGGATAGGTTACCACCTGTCATGTCGTCTTTGATGGGCCTGTGCTTGTACAGTGGATGTGCCGGTTTAAATGTTGTGTGAATGAGGATTTAAAATGTCTAAACCTCAACTTTTAACCATCATTTGTTGTTCTATCGCCACATTTCTTCTTTTTGTTCTGTTCTTAGCAAACGTGTCAGGTTTTAGCATCTCAGAGTTAAAATAAAATGACGAGTTAAATTGGAAATGTAATGTCTTTACTCTGTCACGTGTCTCTCTTTAGGAAAACCTTCCTCGTTTTCCCAGTTCTCTTTAACTTGCTTCACTTTTCTGTTCACATCTCACTCGAAGCTCTTTTAAACCCGACGTCAAAACGCACCCTTTTTATTTCAACCCACCTGCAGGATTTCTGTGTGTTGACCCGTTTTGGCCACAAAAGAATCGTCTTCTGACGGACAACAGACCGCTGCATCGAATAAAAGCAACCATTACAAAACACAATAGGGCCTAACAACATCAACGACTCATCGGCGGTAGGGAGGAGGGGTATTCATAGGTAGTTTCTGCTCATTTAAAAACAGTTTAAAGCTCGACAAAGCTCCTCACATCAAGAAGCCAAACAAGTCCAGTTGCTTTCATTTGAACGCCCTTTGTTTTAAAGTTAAAGTCCCATTAGTCATCATCACACATTAGTGAAGTTATCCGCATTTGACCCATCCCTGTGGGGAGTGGTGTGCTCAAGAACTATTGGTGGTTTAACCCTCCAATCCAACCCCTTACTGCTGAGTGCCAAGCAGGGAGGCACCGAGTCCCATTTTTAGGCCTAGTCCACACGTAGCCGTGGTTTTTTGAAAACGAATATCCGCCCCTCCAAAAACTTGCATCCACACCACCGTGTTTTAAAAACAAACTCTGTCCACACGTACCCGGATAAATACGTTGTTAAGGACATGCCAGACCTGTAGGCGGCAGTACTTCCCCCGTTCTTAACCTCGTCCTTCGTCTGTGGTCTTCCGCAAGGAGCAGTAATTCCGCTTGCAAAAACAAAAAAGCAAAAAGCGCTTGGATAATTGATGGATCGGGTAGTGACAGAACGCAGCTCTGAGGGCTTCCATGATGCCGGCTAGTGTAAACACAGGTCGCACATGTGAAGTCAGCATTTTTTGTCGCGGAAAGTGACGTTGCGGACCTTAAAACTCCGGTTTTGTCTGTCCACACGCAGACACCCAAAACGGAGAAAACGCAGATCTTCACTTTGGCCGGAGTTTTTAAAAAGATCCGTTTTCGTGTGAAAAAACTCCGTTTTCGTGTGGATGACAGGCCAAAACGCAGAAAAATATCTACGTTTTGGCAGATCCCCGGCTACCTGTGGACAGGGCCTTAGAGTGTTTGGAATGACCCGACTGGGATTTGAGCCTCCATCTCCCAGTCCCAGGGCAGACACGCTACCGCTGGGCCTGACAAACATTTAATTGCGCAACTTTCAGTAAAACTGCTTATTTTCTGGATCTGCTCTTAATCTCGTTTTGGCCAGTTGAAACAAGATTCAGCGTTCGCTTTTTATGGCTAATCGGTCGACGGCTACACATGATGAGCACATCATCCTAGAGATTTTATCGGGAGCTTCCCAACTGAAAACATTACACACTGATGTGGGAGACAGCTGGCTGGTGACAGGGACCGTCTGCAGCGGCTCAGAGTATCTCTGGTACCCAACGGTGAGACCTGGAGGAACCCAAAGGGTTCAAAAAGACAGGATCAACCTGCTTTAATGCTGCAGGTTGCAGTTTGGGGTTTGTTCTGTCTGGAAACAATAAAAAATCAGCTAAGTTTTAGTTTTAGGAGCTTTTGGGTGTATTTTAATGTCGAGTATGAACAAGGCTCTTCTAGATGATCTCCACAGACGTGACCTTGTTACTAGGGATGAGCCAGATACTCGTTTCAGACGAGTATCCGGTACGGATAAAGCATTTTTGACAACTATGGGCATGAAACGAGTAAAACTTGTAAATATCTGTAATCGTGCTGAAGGAAAATCCTCATTGGGTAACTGACTGTCTTCACGGTCTGTGATTGGCCAGTCACATAGAGCGCCCGCCCCTCCCTACACACAAAACTCTGCAGCCGGGACCTCACAGCTCAGTCCGTGTCCGGTCCATCCACGCACACACACACACACACAGACAGTAACGGATCTCTCTGTGCTTCATGTTTCTTCAGTACTTCCTATGTTTTCTTCAGTTTGCTTCTTTTTAAAGTTACTTTAAAGATATTTAAAGTTACTTTTTTCTTAACGTACGTGGTGCATTTGACAAGACAGAGCTGAAAACTGCTCGTGCTGCGTCAGTCACTGCCTCCGCTCCATCTGTTTTTTTTTCCCTCTCTCTCTCTCTCTCTGTCTCTCTCTCTCTCTCTCTCTCTCTCTCTCTCTCTCTCTCTCTCTCTCTCTCTCTCTCTCTCTCTCTCTCTCTCTCTCTCTCTCAGGATCCACTCCCTCTTTCCTTTTCACTCTCTTTCTTTACATTTTTTAATCACAATTGCCTATTTTTGCTCATTTTAATATATTTTTAAACATTTTCTAAATGCTTTTTTATATTTTTACAATTTTTGATTTTGTGAAGCGCCCTGTGATTTTTATCTTGAGAGACGCTATAGAAATTATATTTTCTTCTTCTTAAAATAACGTATTGATGTAAACCACACCCACCTCCGGTTAAACTACACCCACTTCCGGGTTAGGCCACGCCCACTCCGAGTACAGATACAGATAATTTAGATGGTTGAACAGATACAGATAGTGGTGTACTCGCTCATCCCTACTTGATACTATCACCTGTTCCCTCACAGCTGGAGGTGACACCAACTCCGCCTCCAACCAAACCAACAACAGTCCGGAAGTGCGGGCACGCCTGGAGAGCGGGCCCTGTGTCGCCGCCCATTCCCCTCTAGCCATGCGCAACGGCTTCCTGCAACTGCATCTCCATGGATACCATGCTAGCTTTGTGATGTCCACGCTACGCAACCTGGCTCTCTTCCTGGAGGATGACTCTGCTTCACAAGTCCTGCCCATGGAGATCAGTGTCAGGGACACGCACATCGATTTAAAGGTGAGGAAGCTCCGGTGTTTCAGCTCTTCTGTTTTTACTTCAGCGCTAACAGACTTGTTGATACGCTGCCAAACTGATCAGCAGCTTGGTTGGATTTTAGACTCAAACCAAATGTTTACTGACACAGAGAAAGGATTTCTTCATTGATCAGGAGAGTTGTGTCTCACTTTTAAACCAAATCCCAACAACACAGGACGACGGCCCGTGTGACCCCGCAGACAGCGAGCGCTCGCCGATCTCCCTCCACGTGGACAGTCTCATCATTCACAGAAGAGACGACGGGTCTTACTCAGTAGGAGGTGATTAACTCTTGATCCGTCTCATACTTCTACCTTACAACACTCCAAACGTCCTACTCTTCTGTTGTCTCCTTTGTCCTCCCAGCGGACGCTGCAGCTGAAGCCAAATCCAAGAAAGCAAATCTGCTGACTGACAGCAGTCTGAGTGCAGTCCCCGAGACCGTGAGCAGCGTCTGCAGGATATCCAAGGCTACGCAGACCCAGACTCCACCCACCAGCTCCGGTCCGTCAGCCAAGGAAAAGGTGAGAAGAACAAATCATATCTGGTCAAGAGCTTCTGTTTCCCTCAATTTAAAGGGGCATTATGGAAGTTTGACAGCCAAAACATGTATAGAAATAATAAATGTCTTCTTCATACATTCTCCTGCAATGCCCTGGTCCTGTAGAATGAGCCCTGGCATTTTTACTGTGATTGCCTGTTTTTCTGTAAAATCACAGAAAAAGAGAGCTGCTCGGGTCGAGCAGGCTGCTTCATGCGCGTTCACGCTCAGGCATAGCCCGTAGCATTTGCTATCAGTAGCTTTAGCAGCAGAGAGAGAGGTAGTGCCGCCTAGTGACAAACCTAGTTACATTTCTGAGGACCCTTAGCTACTTTCTGTAGAACTTTCTTCTAGATATTTCCTGCAAATTAGCAACAAAATAGCCATTTTCGCTCCGAACCGTTCTTTGAACGTTGTTTCAGCTGTCATCAAGGATATAAATATTAAAGATACAAAGGACGTCACTGGCGCTTTAGCTCACCTAGTAAGACGTCGAACTCTCGTGCAGAAGACCTGGGTTTGATTCCGGAGGTGAACGTAGTTTATTTAGAGTTTCTTTTTTACATTAATGGTATATTTTTTTACAGTAAGATGTCCAATTTTTTATTTGAGACTCGCCGAACGGCATTGAATTCACAGATAAAAAAGATGTGGGTTCAACTTTCATTTTGGAACAATTTTTCAAGCAAGGGAAGGGAATGATCGGAGCATGCAGGAGGACTGACCCATCATAAACCTTTGTCGGCTGTGCTGAAGAGAAAGGTACAGAACCAAATTATTTAATTAGCTGCGCGTTCTCCTGTCCTCTGTCCTCCGGGCCACACACACACACACACACACACACACACACACACACACACACACACACACACACACACACACACAAGGGACTGTCTCAACTGTTATTTTCGTTAAGGAGTGTGCACGTACAGCATGCGCGCCTCGTGCACGAGCCTACTATTGAAGCTGCCGTTACGCTTTTGGCCTGAGGGGGCAATCACAAGCATAAAAATTCAAAACTCCGTAAAGTCCCTTTAAATACCCAGAATGTTTCTGATGTTTAATCTTTCCTCGTGGCTCTTCTGTCACCTCCAGATACTGATGGAGGAGAACGAATGTCTCAAGGTGGAGCTGTCCCGAACCAAAATGGCTCTGGCCGAGGCTCAGATGGAGAAGGACTCGCTGCTTCACCGCATCAAGAACCTCAAAACCAACAGCAGCTAGACCCGACGCTGTCGGACAGCAGCGAAGGAAAACCTTTCATGAGCAAACTAGCGTGACGTCAAACCAACGCAAAGACCTAGAAAACGTTTTTAACTCCTGTTTTATCATGAACACAAAAGAGTACAGAAGAACGCCTGAGAACGGAGGAGGGCTGAGGTTTTTATTCCTGGTGGTTCCTACAGAAAACCCCTCCCTCACTGATGTTGCTGTCGTAGTTATAAAGTAAAACACGGCAGCTCGTCTCAAATCGGCTCCTGAATGTTGTATCGTTAGGAGAATAATTAAAAAACGACTTTGTTTGCACTGAAACCAGTTTAGTGCTTACACGTTCATGTAAGCACATCCTCGGTGAGTGAATCATGAAGGAATGTGAACACATTTAGTTATTTTCAAGCAATTTTTCAAGCAAAAAAGCCTCACGAGGAGTAGCCCGTGCCCTCCACCGTTGTCTTATTTTTCTATGTGTAAATAGACGCTCATCACGTGCTGCACTTTCAAATCTGAGGCACTAAATACGATAATTACAACTGTGAGAGAACACGGGAGGAGAAGAGAGGGAGCGACTGAGAACATAAACGTTAATGCTCCGTTCTTAAAAAAGAAGAGGATACGGGCACATCAAAGCTGGCCCACTATCGGAGTGTGTCGTTATGGAAACGGAGACAAAATGAACTTTATCTTGTTTTATGGATGAGCATCGACCACAACTGCTGCTGTTTCATCCCTGTGAGAGCGCCAGGAGGACGCTGAGTTTTAAAACAACGTATTTTTCTATCAGCACAACACAAAGGATAGATTTAGGTCTCACAACTCTGATCTCACAAACGAATACTAACAAAAATGGCCTACGGTAGTAACAGCTTGGCCCGATTCATTTCAGGTTCTGGTTCCCATCAAGACTAGAAAATACGACCAGTAAAGATGTTTATGAAGACTTTGTTTTCTTACATTTATTGCAGATGTTCTCATGAGAAAATGCCGCTTTTGGGAAAAGGAATAAAATACAGAAGCTAAGTTGTATTTGGTTTGTCAAAGCTGCTGAAATCCTGATAAAAATAAAAGCTGTTTTAAATATTTCCCTTTTAAAAAAAATGTTTTCAGAGAGAATTTATTTGTAATGTTCAGAACGTGGCGTTGAAAAGAAACATTAAGCCAGAATAAGAGTCCAAAGTAAAACTTTTTTTTTGTCATCTAATCTGAGATGGAATGCATCGATCAAAAATGGCTGATCTACTCCACAGGTGTTTGACTCATTTGAACACCACCTTTCTCGATTTATGAGCAGCAACATAAGTGGAAGCAAATATAAGAGCGTCCACTCTGCTCCAACGAGCTGCAGCGATCCGGCGTTTGGCCTTTGTGCTCATAAATGGTCATGACATTTTACAGCTGGGGCAGTGCTGTGAGTCATAAAAGGGCATTAAACCGCCGCGCAGACGAGGAAAGCCCTACACTCTCCAGCTGCAAACTAAAGCTTGTTGACATAGACTAGCTTGATGGTTTTGTTGGAGCTGTCACATGACAGAATGCATGCGTAAAAACATGCTCTGTGTGAGGAGTGTAAAAGGAGGAATATGGAATCCCAGCACATGGATAGTGGAATGAATGGAAGTGAATTAGCTATGAAATAGTTTTTTGCATTTTTTCTATGAAAGGAAATACATTTTTTGTGGCTCATGAGGCCTTTTACTTTGACAGTTGTGGCCGCCCTCTTGAAAGGGTTTGACACCCCTGGTTTAGAGTTCAGATGTTAATGAGACTGCAGGTGCTGATTTATGTCAGCGGGTATGCTAACGCTAAAACAATGTGACTAGAATGTGTGTTCACAGGAGAGTTGATCCTGGAAAATAGAATCATAAAAAAATATTGCTGGACACAGCACAAGAGGTTGGGGTTCATAATTTTAAAATGATAAAAGTAATTTTTTTATACGCTTAATATTGTGTCAGTGTGTTTTGCCATCGTTCTGCACTGACATTCTGATAAACCATCACAGGATGAATTGGTTTAACCTTCAAAACACAGGAATATTTCTGGTAATGTGCTACAATTGTGACTTATTTATGTGAATTACGTGGGAGCATAAAAATATAAATATTCTTAGTAGCTTTCCTTTAATTCTGTTCTGATCAATAATTATTTGCTCTATGTTGAAACAAGAAATCTGACAGGAACCTGCTAAATTCCAATTGGGTAGCTGTGTGTGGGAAATCATACAGGTTCCTGCTTGCTTGTAAAATGGGACGGTGTGTGTGTGTGTGTGGGAGGAGGAGGAGGAGGGGGGGGGGGGGGGTTGTCCCTGTCAGAGCGCATTAAATCCCAGCTTCCGCCTCCATTCTGCATTATTCACAGAAACTCAGCTCTGGCATGACTGGGGGGATATTTTCAGATCTCACCTGTTTCCAACCCCGTCCAGCTGCAGCAGCGGGAATACAATACCAGCGCCGAGGAGTCGTACGCATGCGCAAAGGCGATTGAGTGAGTTTCTGATATGAATATGCATACGAGCAAACACAGATGGAGGCTGAGTTTATAAAAACCGACCGACAGAGAGACATAACCTCCAGCTGATGGTGTAGCACCGTCATCAGCACCCTGAGCGTAGCACCAAGTCCACTTGTTTAACTCCAGACACTTACGAAGGAAGTCAGACTGGTAACCTTTCAAAATTAAAGCTCACAACGATCCCTAAAGAAACAGGTTGGACCTCTACTTTTCTCTCTCGGATTTTATTATGTACAAGTTGTCATACTGGAAAAAATATCACGTTTTACATTAATTTGGCAAGGATTTGCATAATACTCAATTAAACCATTATATTTACCAAAAGCCGAGAACTTGTCTTTCTGGTCTTCTGTGTTGATTTTAATCATAAATCTAGAGTTCACAGGTTGCTAATTTTTTGAATGGCTATAACAAATGCCCTGTGATGATTGCGGATGTTTGAAAGATAACCTATTTTACAATTTTAGCCTTTTTCTAGACCCAGTTCGCGATACATTTATATTTTTGACATTAATGAAACACTAACTGATTTGAAACCAACAAACCATGACCTGGAATCAGAAAGATTTTATAACTGTATATGAATGCAATGTAACTGGATGCCACTCAAGATAGATGTAATCAGCACAACAAATAACACACACACACACACACACACACACACACACACACACACACACACACATTATATATATATATATATATATATATATATATATATATATATATATATATATATATATATATATATATATATATATATCATGTGGTCAGATGAAACCAAAGTAGAACTTTTTGGTATAAACTCAACTCGTCGTGTTTGGAGGAAGAAGAATACTGAGTTGCATCCCAAGAACACCATACCTACTGTGAAGCATGGGGGTAGGAACATCATGCTATGGGGCTGTTTTTCTGCTAAGGGGACAGGATGACTGATCCGTGTTAAGGACAAAATGAATGGGGTCATGTATCGTGAGATTCTGAGCCAAAACCTCCTTCCATCAGTGAGAGCTTTGAAGATGAAACGTGCCTGGGTCTTCCAACACGACAATGATCCCAAACACACCGCCCGGGCAACAAAGGAGTGACTCCGTAAGAAGCATTTGAAAGTCCTGGAGTGGCCTAGTCTCCAGACCTCAACCCCATAGAAAATCTGTGGAGGGAGTTGAAAGTCTGTGTTGCTCGGCGACAGCCCCAAAACATCACTGCTCTCGAGAAGATCTGCATGGAGGAATGGGCCAAAATACCAGCTACTGTGTGTGCAAACCTGGTAAAGACCTATAGTAATCGTTTGACCTCTGTTATTCCCAACAAAGGTTATGTTACAAAGTATTGAGTTGAATTTTTGTTATTGACCAAATGCTTATTTTCCACCCTGATTTACAAATAAATTCTTTAAAAATCCTGCCATGTGAATTCATGGATTTTTTTTTCACTTTCTGTCTCTCACAGTTGAAGTGTACCTATGATGAAAATTACTGACCTCTGTCATCATTTTAAGTGGGAGAACTTGCACAATCGGTGGCTGACTAAATACTTTTTGCCCCACTGTGTGTATATATACATATATATAATGTTGTGACAGGACATTTATTTTGAAAGTGTTGGCCGGAAACAGAAAGTTGCATCCTAACAGCTGTGTCTCAGCTGACCCTGATGAGCGCCGACACCGGCCAGTGCTGGGGGCTCGCGGGAGAGAGGAAGGTGATCGTAGTGGGAGAGACGGAGCTCCATCTCCCGTTTGTTTACTCGCACGCGCTTCAGACGCGTCACGCGCCTCCGTTCGCACCAAGAACGATTTTGAGTTGTTTTCCTAAAAAAACGAGTTAAATCTTCAGTTTAGACTTTAACAAGTCGTTTTTGGAGCCCCGGCTTTCCCCGCTGTCTGCTCTGAGGTTTTACACCGGAGAGGAGTGCTTATCTGCGGACTCACACCTGAGTAAATTACGGAGCTTCGGCTGCGAGGCACCGAAGAGAGAGAGAGAGACAGAGCTGCTCTGCAGCATCACCGTGCAGCAGCTGCTGCGGCTGGAGGAATCCGTTTAGATGCGTTCCCGCACCAGACGCTGAGGAACGGGGGTCGGAAGCAGTGGAGTATACGTTTCTTGGATTTTTCTTGCCCCGTCGTTAGAAACTTGCGTCCGGGATGGGGAAGGAGCAGGAGCTGCTGGAAGCCGCCCGCACCGGGAATGTCGCCTTGGTGGAGAAACTGTTGAGTGGAAAGAAAGGAATCCTGGGGTCAGGCTCTGGCTCCATCCCTCTCCCCAACCTGCTGAGGTAAGTAGCCTTCTCCAGTCTGCATTATGCAGCCCCAGCAGTGTAGTGGGGGCATTCCTGAGGGCTTTCCTTGTCTGCTCAATTCCTCTTAATGTTGTGTCTGCGCACAAAAACAAACATGCCACGGAACTACTGTGCAGCATGCTTCAACAGCAGCTCAAAGTGAAAGAAATCTGCGATATTATTACAGGTTATTGACATAAATTAGCATTTTTCTCACACGTGCTTTTGCATTTTGACTATTCTCATCCAAATTAAGACGGTAGTGTCCGGTCCATGTCCTCAAGGTCCACCATGCTCCATCACACCTGATTTGAATCAATGGATGATTAGCGGGTGTCTGCAGAACTGCTCTTGGGTTGCTTTAATGGTGAGGCTGCTGCATGGCACGAGCTCACACCTACCTGCCAGGCTCCAGACCTCTTTATGCTGTGGTTTCTGCACTTCACAGTGGAGACAAAGGAAATAAAAGCTGAGCTTCATGGCTGTGACAGTTTTCACAGGGTGGTGACACTCTGATGTTCAGATGATGGAATATTTGTAATTTATAGTCCAGATTTGCCAGGCAGCACGTAGCAACGCTCCTAAGGCATAGAGAAGAGGATTTCTCCGTCACTCTGTTGGTGTTTTTGGGGATTTGTGTGGTCACATTGCTTCTTGTGGGGTGTCTGATCACGTGATCCCTGTAAAGTTGTGACAGGCAGGTGGACTGAGGGCAAATAGTAAATAAAACCTTGTGGTTTGGCTCAAGCGGGAACCTCGTGCAACTTCTCTTTTGCTGTTAAAAATAAGGCATGTGTAGAAATAAGGAAATGTTTAATTACGCCAGCAAGACATCACCTGAGACTCTGCAGCAGCTGAAAATATCAGTGAAACTCCTTTTCTTCTTGATCTGAGGTGAAGTGACCATGAAGGACCTCACACAAGTTCAGGCATGATGGTCCTCCTCCTGCCCCTGCAGCCTGGTCTCAGCTCAGGATGATGCTGAGCCAGATGACTGGGAGATCCAAGCAGGGGCGTCTGGGAGGAATTCTGCCCCGGGGTCCCAACCTCTCTGTACTGGGAGAATGCTAACCTCGCTTCCAAGCTTCTTTGAACCCCTGTAAGCCAAAAACGGAACTAGTTGTTTTCTAATCAATGGGACATTTGCCAGAGAAGATTGAATAACAGTAATCTCTGATTAGAAGCTTTAATTAGTGTCTTCTGAACCCAGACGCCACAGGAAGCTGCTTGAGGGGCTTTTGTAAGACAGCTGAGTTATGAGCTAGGATTGTCTGATTTTCATGCTGTTTCAGTAATTAAAGGAAGTTTGTGATTTGCTGCATCTTGTGATTTGACATTTTCTCCTCATCCCCTCTGAGAAAACAGAATTTATGTAAACAGAATTTGTATGCTTCTGATGATTTTTTTAAGCAATGCATAAAAATAGGCATCCTATCAAGAAAACCAACTCCCTTACCTTTAAATCTCATATAGATAAACTGGTGAAAAAATTAAAACTAAAGCTGGGTTTCTACTTCAGTAATAAGTCGTGTTTTTCTTTTGAAGGAAAAAAGCAGCTTGTCACTACTACCTTTTATCTGTACTAGATTATGGTGATCTTATATATATGAATGCTTCTTTAACTGTGCTACAAAAACTGGACTCGGTTTACCGTGCGTCTCTTGAGATTCATCACAAACTGTAGAGCCATAACACATCACTGTGAATTATAATCACCAGTGAAATGGCCATCATTGGCAACAAGAAGACAAAATCATTGGTATGTTTTTATTTACAAGGCAGTGCTTGGATTGTTACCTCCTTATATTTGCACTTTAATCACACGAGAAAATGTTGATTCCTATTCTTTAAGGTCTAACGATCAGTTGCTACTTTGTGTTCCTTTTGCTCGCACACAGTTAGGAAAGAGAGCCTTCGCCTGCTCTGCTTCTTCTGCTCAGAACCAGCTGCAGAAAACCTGGAAAACGACTGAGCAGGTTTCACTAAATGCCTTCAAAACCAAACTGAAAGCTTCAGAGACTGCATTAGTAACTTGTAACTGCTTTTAATGATTGAGTGTTTTATCATTGCCATTATGTTGTAACTGTATTTTTGCTGCCTCTTGGCCAGCACACCCTTGTAAAAGAGGTTCTTAAAGAGCAAGTCACCCCTTACAAGAAGCGTACTTCACTCCCACTTCATGTTTGAAAAATGCAACAAATGCTGTTGCCTAGCAGACCGAGAGGGTGGAGCCACTAACAAATACACACACTCACGACTTTGTGACATCATAATGTACCAGTTTACATCATAGCATACCTCTTAGCCAATAGCGGTGGCAGATTAAAATTCAAATGCAGTGAAGAGTTTTTACCTGACAACGGCACAACACTGACAGTTTCAGGCAGAAAATTAAAATTTGAACTAAAATGCACTAAAGTGCAAAACTATTGACTACAAGTGTTTGCAGCACAATTAGACACACATTTATAGAGTTCATCAGAAAAAAATAGTTGATTTGGGGGTGACTTGCTCTTTAACCTCAATGGGTTTCTATCCTGGTTAAATAAAAATATGAATAAATAAAAATAAACAAAAAATGTTAGAACATTTCAATTCGCATCAACATCCTGCTGGAGACAAAATTTCACAATAGGAATGTAGGTCATTGCAGATGTGACACCGACACCCTGGATAATCTAAAACAAATCACGTCTGACAGAAATTACTGCCGTGGTTTACTGAGATGATCTTTTTTTGGGAGCACAACAGTAACCCTGGAGACGGTGTTGTTTCAAGGCACTATCCCAGTCAGAGGGGCTCACTAGTATGGTGTCATGGGGTCAAGGTAAGAGTTAGGGTGCAGGGTAGGGTTACAACGATGCCAGTCTGACATATGTGGTCTGTCAGACTGGCATACGCTGTAAATGTGCATGACAATCTGACAATGTACGGTGCTTTGATAGAACAGGAGCCGCGTTCACGTATAACCATCCACAAAATGAACTGATGAATGTGTCACAATTTTTCAGTTGACCACCTTCTAATTAAAAAAAAATTAAATAAAATAAGGCATTAAAATATATCAAAGTGACAAGTCAGGGTGTCATACAGGCTTTCAAAACAACGTGTATGATGATCTGATGGCTAAAATGGCCATTCAGGGTCATATATCTGTTCTAACCTTCTAAACAAAGTGTGTGGTGATCTGACGGGTAAAATTGCCCTTACACTTTTAGAACAAACGTATGATATCCTGATGGGTAGGGATGTAAGAAAATATCGACATGGCAATGTATCATGATATTTTATCCTGTGATATTGTATCGATATTCAAAGCTGTATATCGAAAATATTGATATGGTAACATATTGTGATATTTTATCCTGTGATTTTATATTGATATTCAAAATCCATGTATCAAATTTTTGGAAGAATTTACATGCAAATATTTGTGTATTTTCTTTTCTTTTGGTGCAATTCAAACGCAGATCGCTAGTTGGCAGCAGTGAGCAATGTGTTTTGTTTCCACCATTGAAATGTAAATCCCTCTGTTATGGTTCAGATACCTTGCGTTAAAAATGTTAAGTATCAGTTTGGACTAGGGCTGGGCAATAAATCGAAAATTTATCGTTATCAAAATTTCTGACTCTTATCGTGATCATTTTTCCCATGTTAATACATTTGATAATAAAGAAATGAAAAAATGTGTAGGTTGGTAACATTCACATCCCTTTAAGAAGCTGTACCACCTTGAGTCACCTAAAAATGTGACTCAAGTAATACATGTGACAGCCACATCTATCCAATCCAATCCAATTTTATTTATAAAGCGCATTCAACAAGGCATTACAACCAAACAAGGCGCTGTACACTAAAAATGTTAGTTAATTAAACCGGCGTTATACAATCATGTCGAACACAGATAAAAGATAAAAAGGAAATACAACAAAATTCCCAAAACTAACAGCTAAAAATCAATAAAACACAGGGAGAATAAAAAATTAGAAAAAACATTTTAAAAAGAACCTCAATAATACGCAAGTTGATATTGTGAATTCCATTTTTAAATCTAGTGGAAAACTTTTGCTTCTGGGCATACCTGTAGTTATCGAGGTGAAATTCTCAATATATCGTGATACTGATATTAGGTCACATCACCCAGCCCTAGTTTGGACTGTTTATTGAATATTCGTACAATAAATTCGGTCTAAAAAAATTGCTAATATCATCTGACTGAATGTATCGCAATATATCGTGATATGTTTTATCGTCTCCCCTGAATCGCGATACTTATCGTATCGCCAAAATTTCACCAATACACATCCCTACTGATGGGCAATTTGACCCGTCGGATCATCACACACTTTGTTTAGAACAAACGTATGATAGGTTTGCTCTAAACAAAGTGTATGATGATCTGACGGGTAAACTGGCCCATTAAAATGTCATACAGCTTAAAAAATGTCTGACGATCTGATGGCGTATGCCTGTCTGACAGACTTGTGCTGTCAGACAGGCATACGCCGTTATATGGATATGCCAGTCTGGCAATGTATGGTGACTGGACAGAACACAGTGATCTCAGACACGTCTTCTGGCCTTCATCACAGAACAATGTTTTTCAGTTGTCATGGCGACGGCCTGGCGGTGACTCTGGTACAAGTGTCCACCAGAAGCTTTCAGTGAGCGTGAAGACTTCAATCGGCTTTTTCCTGCATAAATGTACATTTAATCTGATCAGTCAGCTGGTTCATTGGAAATCTTAGTCATGACACTAGAAGGGTTTTTCACACATACTCTATCTTAAAGGCGTGTCTGTGTAGCTGTAATAAAGAGGTATTTGTACGTTAGCGGTTCAAAGGGTCAACAGAGAGGTCACGACAGAGGAGTGTGTGCTGTTGTAGGAATGATCTCTGGGAATAAGTGCATAGTTTCCCATTTTAAGGCTTCTGAGCCGAGCATTCCTGAGTCATGAGCTTCCTCCTCTTCGGCCGACTGATTCCCTCTGAGTATCC